CGGTTTCAGCTGTTGTTCAGTTGGGAAAGGAGAGGGCTGTATCGATTAAAGATCTGTCAGCTTTATCGAATTCCATGAGATGTCAATAAATTTTTATAACCGTTACTTCTTACCTCAATTAATTATCCAGATTTACCATTTTTAATTAATTGATAAATTGTCCTTGCTCGATGATTGATTGAAAATATATTCCCCTCATCGAAAATATCACCCTCTCCGCCCCCAATTACCAAGTCATCCCGTAGATTGACTGTCTAAAAGCTCTCGATTCATAAAAACTAATCCCCAGAAACAAAATTTTATCAGCCTCCTGCTTATACGTACGAGTGGTCTCCCCCAGCTATATGTATGACCGAGAAATCGAATCCAATTTTCACGATAGCATCTTCAACAGTATACCGTACTTATTACACCCTCTCACTCGCATATTCGATAGCTTCAGCACGATCAGGTGTCACGAGAGGTCCAGTCCACCAGGTCCAATCCTCCATAAATTTATTCCATAATATTTGGTCAGAATATTTTCCGTGAATCCCATTGGTGTCTTCTACATCAAAAAATGGTGAATAGACAAAAAAAAAAATATATATATCAGGCATTAGCCAGCAAGTGTTGATATACCGAGGGGATGATTCTGATGGGCTGCGGGATTTCGTCTCGGAGTCGTATCAATATTCATCAGCGTCCTCATGTTCGGCTCGAGTGAAATTCCAGGATTAGTCCAACAGAAACTTGGCATAGCCCCTCTATCCCCTCATCCTCTTCTAGTCCCAGGGAAATAGGAATAGGGTATAACCTCCACACGCACTGCTAACCTCTAATCTCCATGATACACTATTGCCCCCTCGACACTGACGTCATATTGCATAACAATTAATCATGGGAAGGGGGTCATACCTGAATACTGGGGGAATCTCGACTTAAATATAGGGGTAGGTATTCTGACCGCTGGATACCACCGATAATCATTTCACTTGGCAGCTTAAAGTGCCACTGGTTTAACGTGTTAAGCCGATTTGCGATTGCCATTTCCTGGATTTGGGGAAAAAATTTGTCACAAGGCGCTAAATGATGGGCCAGTGGTTGAAATATCCAATTATTTTCATCCAAATTGTACCTCAAAGCCCTGAAGATGCAAACTGCAATGTCTACAAGATGTCGGCGCAATGACGATCACAAAATGGCGTCTCGTTCTGCACTAACCTGAAATTTCTAGTGGAATTATTAAATTTCGGGATGGGGTTGACAATTTGGGTAGGATGGATTTTTATTCTGGACGTGTCGTTGATGTAAGTAATGAGTCCTGGCAGTAGCCACATGGTAATGCCTAATGTCGATCAAACAACTGTTTAAGCAAGCCTCGAGTTAAGTGCGCCCTTTCCTTTCTGCTCGCTCTAGACCCCGGGCTCACCCCTCGATTTTGTCTAACCGGGGCATTTTTTGTCCGCCATTCAATAATACTAATGCGACTGGCAACATGGTCAATAGTTTCACCACCTCGTTCGAGCAAAGCGTAAATCCCATTTTCGTGGCTCGCTGATTGAGGACAGATGCACGAGAGAAATTCTGCGGGGAGAAGTGCACGGGCTACATGTGGAATGAGGGAAGTGTCGTTAGAAGCTAGCACAATGGACAGCATACTTTCCACACTTGGTGTGCCAAAAGCTGAATATACATTACATCTAAATCAAGTGAGTACCACCACCTGGACAATTTATTTATCATTAAAAAATATCTATAACAATTGAATAATATCTCCACATTTTTTAGATTTTTAATAAAATTTGTCTCACCTTGTGTATTTTTTTTTTCTCAGTGCCGAGTTGGAGAGTGGAGACGGTAATCAATGGATATTTAACATCAGTGATGACTCGATGACTCTTTATCTACGGAAGTCATCACACCGAGTCTCTTCGCAGGATCTATCCCCCAGTAATAACAGCATGTTGTAGCTTACCGTAGCATATGCACGTCAGTCTCCATATGTGAGTTGTTCTGCCCCCATCAGCTAAAAATGGAAGAGCCCCCACTAGATTCTCATTGCAGGGTACCTGTACTCCATTGACAATTACTGGCTGGTGTAGAACCTGTCTCCCTGGATAGAGGGAGAGAAAAATAATAAATAGAGTGGGTATAGCAGGTTGAGGCCATCATTGTTGCATGACCCCCGGGTTCTTTATGAACGTATATATATCCCTCATAAGCCACTGTGGACAGCTGGGCACAGATGGCCCGTTAATCTCATTGAAAACTCATGAGGACTCCATGGCTACGATCACTGGGGACCAACGACCATATGTCTGACGTAGCCGCATGTTGAAATCCTGTTTCATTGTCACCCACGTATACCCCACATGCATACATTCACTTTCAATAGTTGTAATCACTGGAAAAAAAGGTCTCGAGAGTCACAGGGAGAGTGGAGAATGCGGGGCCGAGGATCAGATGAAACACTAGCTGAAATTCAACTTTTATTTTTATTTTTCAACGGATCAACGTGTGGAAAAGATAAAAAAAATAATTTATAATTGAAAATGTGTAATGAATAATTGGAGATAAAATGGTATCATCGTCGGGTATGACCCCTCGGGTGCGACCTCTGGGATCCACCACCTCCAATTAAAAATCCATCCCAAACATAAATCAGGGAATCCCAGAGCCGTGGAATCGAAAAAAAAAATCGACATCTCGTAGACGAGATTTTGATGGAGAGGTGAAGCGCTCCGGAGCTCGTGCTCTTAATCGAGACCAGAGAGTTGCGATCTCATGGGAGATCCCGGAAGAGCGAATCAAAGTCACATCTGCGGATAACGTCGCAACCGTCCCCAATCGATTTGTTCCAAAAGATTGATGACAACGCGGATTCTGATGTGCCCCATCCCCCCACCGATCGTCAGTACAATTAAAGGTGATAATTAATAAAACTTTTTCGATCAACACAACACAAGGAAATAATCCTAAACATTTCATCAATTAATTATTGTAATTGCTTTTTAGATGGATAAGATTGCTGTATCTTGAATAATTACTGGAATTACTAAAATTCGTAATTTGGAGTTGATGAAGGAGATTAAGGCCCATCTGCCCCCGGGGGGGGGCAAGAGTATGTTGGTCACGGTCGGCATAACCGCGACATGGTGCGGGTGGTGCACAAGCAGTTTCACCAGAGTAAGAAGAGAAAACGGAAGGAATACCAGTGTTGCTTACCGGAGGAGAAAGATCCCAGGGTGTAGAGAAGAGAGAGAAACGACGATGGCATTTCGCGACGAGCGAGCTAAGTGCGGGATTATGCAAAGTACCGGCCATACAGTATAAAAATACGGAACGACTCTGCGCCATCTTTTCCGGGCCATTCTAATAACTTGCTGTCGCGCATATACGCTCCTCTCGAAATTTTTATCCTTCCTCACTCCTCAAATATGGCGGTAAAATAAAAAAAAAATATTCACCAATTCTCTCACTAATAAAGAAAGATGCTCCCCTCGAAATAATGTGTAGATTTCACATGCCACTTCGCTCTTGAATAATTTATACGAGTGATAACCGGGGTATGATAGTATTTGCCAAATTGCATTTCATATAGCCGTTTATCTCGAGCACGCGCTTCTGCAACCCGAACCCACCTGATTGCCGATTATCTGTTTCAAAAAGCGTTCACGCAACGCATAGTAATACAAACCCCCTATACACTGGGTTTTCGTTATAACTATTACGAGATAAGGATTTTGTCTTAATGCTCGTGGCAGAAGTACCGGTGTTACGCACACCGATGATTAAACTAAAAATGGAAACGAGTTTAATTATCTCGGTGGTGCTTCAATTCCCAAGACGATGACGAAGAAAACAATTCAAGAAGAAATTGGAGGACCGTGAAGAGCGCCTGATTGATCGATCCCCCGTTGATTATCCGGTGTGTTCGCAGCTGTGAATCGGTTTAATTCTCCAATGAGGAAGGTAACACAAAAAAAAAGGGCACGGGTTGAGGGAAAAAAAAAAACATGAGAGAATTCAGAAATAGAGCATAAAGAGCGGAGAAAAAATTGGCCGGGAGCAACGATGAAAATATATTTTCGATCGTTCGTCAGGATGAAATATGGGGGTTGGGTTGGGTGGTGGGTTGGAGGGGTGGAGGGATAGAGGGATGGAGAGCTGTATGAATCGAGGGGGTGGTGTGAGGGAGACAGAACTAGGTAGAATCGCCGGAAGGCAAAGTGGTTATAACAAGTATACCCTATTTTCTGCGCAGCACAGAGGGCGCAATGAATCCGTATACCTCTCTCAGCAATAACCCAGAAGGAAAGGGTAGAGAAGTGGGGTGGTGTGGTTGCACATGTGTCGAACCTGAAATATGTAGGCGTGGCCTCAGTTGTTGGAGGTAGCAGACGCATCCCGACTCAGCTGAATATGTTCCCGCGTCCTTGTTCCATCTCTCCCCGGTATTCGTTTTCATCTGCCCCCACCCAAAAACTAGAGATATGCGCGAAAGTACAACAGGGGCTATATGGCTCCACCCTCGAGTGGGCTCGGTTTGCGCTACCATTGGCCCCTCGGCTAAACCACTTCAAACCACCCTCTCAACAGCCAAGCTTCTCTCCACCTGTCGTTCGACGCGAAACCGACTAGTTTGTGCTATAGAGCATCAGCTGAATATCCCCCAAAGGGGCTACAATACCGAGATCCTTTTGCTCAGTTGAATCATTCAAACGTGGTCCGTCCACGACCCCGGGTCGTCACCGTTATAATATCAGAGTCATATCATCATCAACGTCTGCTTACCATCAAGGTAAGTCATCATCTCACCATCTCCCCATCTCCCCATTGACGAACGGCTGATTCGGCTGATTCAGCTGATTCAGCTGATTAATTTCATTTAACTGATTTAGCTGATTTATTTATTATTCAGTTGATTGCATCCAAATTTAACGAACCGCTTCAATTCTTCAATTCTTCTAATTGCTTCAGACAAGACCCGACTTGATTGGTGGATTATCGTTGTCACAATGACAATGGAAGATCGCTCGGGACCAGGCATCGATCGTCCAGGTGATGCAGGGACAGCAACGGCAGCCACTGGAGTGACGACCGACGCCTCTTATCCACTTCGCAGAGCAACCGGCAAGCGATCATTTGATGTTGCCTTTCTGGTTGCACCGGATGAAAAATTGGCCCGACGTCAGAGCGATTACAATCAGATTGAAACTTCTCACAGCCCGGACTTCGGGCAGCCAGTGAGTCCATCGGGTGACACCTGTTACCGCGGCTTTCCAACGAGTCACCCACCACCAGGACATCACGACGAGTTGACGGGCTCGCGAAGCGCTTTCACGAAGGTCAGTTCATTGAGCAGCTTTGACGAGTCCCGTAGCTCACCACGATCATCAATATCCCCGGATCGTGGGAGTTATCGAAGCATAAGTCCACCACGGAGAACGCCTCCGCTGCAATCAGCTTGTCCCATTAAAACAGCGACATTCAAATACGGATCATTCGCTGCGGTGGCTGCAGCAGCCGCAGCAGCAGCCGCTGCTGCTGCCTCTACTCCGTATCCATTCATCCCGAGTTCTCCAGAGAGTGCAACACCAATAACCGCAACGACAACAGCATCAACCAACAACTTGTCAATCGGTGAAAGCCTGAAAATTCGGAAGATCCCGAATTCCGTGGAGCCCGCCAACTTCCGGACAGCGTCAGAGCTATCACCAGCAGCAGCTGCTGTTTATTCAAATCTGTCGTACTCACCTATATCAGTGTTTCCCTCTGCACCGATGGCAGAAGCTCTCACCCGTCCTCGCCATTTATTCGGTGTAACCGGTCTTCTGCCGCCGTCCTTTGCCCTCAGTCTTCCCGCCCAGAATGTTTGTGCCAAGTGCAATCTGTCCTTCCGGATGACATCCGATCTCGTCTATCACATGCGCTCCCATCACAAGAACGAGGGAACTGGCGAAGCTGCGAGGAGACGTCGCGAGGAAAAGCTGCGGTGTCCCGTGTGCGACGAGAGCTTTCGGGAGAGGCATCACCTCACCAGACACATGACAGCTCATCAGGACAAAGCGAGTGACTCCATGGATCCCCAGGTGCAGCATCCTCAGCTGCCTTCGGGCAGCGTCAAACGACGAACCGGTGGACTTCCAGTGGTTCACGGTGCAAAGTGACATTATTTCCCACAAATTCAAAACTACTTCCAATAAATCAAAGACTCAGCTCTTCAAGCCAAATATATTCTCATAGAATATACGAATTATAGTGTTACGAATATTTTGAAGGATCGTCATGTATGGACTGTGTCGATATGTGATGATCGGAGGGCTCTCTCTCTAGTCAATATTAGGAGGATTAACGTTAACATTAGGTCTAGCCAAATAGCGATTGTATCGAGTATAACGATCGATATATTTGGAAAAAAAAAAATGATGCGCATCTTCAGCGACATCGACTGTCACACCTCGATAAATGGGTATCGCAATTTTGTTACTTTTTTTTTTTCTTTTGTAGTTATTCTTTCAAATCGACACCGGCATCGTAAACCGTAAACTCCGCGTCACACGTAAACCAGCGGAGCACGCATAATGGTAGGAAACAATGAAATGCCGTAATCGGAAACAGTGCCGGTTTGTTATCTGCCATTCGCACCCCATTTAACTTGAAACGTTGAATCGGTCCGGGTTGGGCTAGGCTGTGCTCGTGGTATACCGTTGAAACTGGGCCCCACGATTATTCGCCACACTCTATCTATCTCATCTGGTGGGGGGGGATTTTAAATACGTCGCGACCTCAGCCCAACCCCTCAGCCACCCTCGTATTCCTCGTTGATCCCGACCCGTTTCTCTCACCCCAATCCTCACCAGTTTCGATGATTCTGTTTCTCGTGTACCGTCAGCACTTGAATTACCGGACGAATTTATCATCCGTGGAATCACTGACTTCCAATTACCAACGACTTTATTCAATAATGCTGTAATATTATATTTAAGGGGTAGTTCTAAGATTTTTTGTTAAATTTTTTCATATTTTATTTATCATTTCAGAAGATTTTTCTCGTCCCGTGAAAAATTTGTGCGTCAGAGGGTGGGAGATTTTTATTAAATAAACAAAAAGAAATAATAATTGATATTGAAAATTATTATTGCGTGAATAATAGCAACGCATCGATATTTGTCACGTATATTTTCCACGGGTGTCGCTCAATTAATTGTACATAATTAATTGTAAATACTATTCTCGATGCATTGTATGTAGACCGTCGTTGTTAAAGTATTAAATACGAGAATAAATAAAATATTATATCAAGAGTATGAGTACGTGGTGATTATTTTCTCTTTTATTGGGGCTGTAAAGAAAGGAGATTTGATATGTGAAAAGAGTATTTTAGTACCTTTTTTTCCGAGCCCCTTGAAATCTCTATAAGTAACTCAGCCAAAAGTTCTCGTCCCCGGGATTCCCCGAAGAAGGGGTATATGACAACGGACGACAGGCGCTCTTGGCAAGAACCGTTAAATCACAGAAAATCCGATTACGACGAGAGCTGATATTAATTTCTGACCATTCTCCATCTTCTTCTTGCCGTTTAGCGGCTTATTGAGAGGAGCTGAAGGGGATGGGACTAGATTATTATCGGTGTTTTTATAAATTGTCAGCAGGGGGCTATCGCACCGCTGACACGGGGACTCACCGAATTAATAATGGCGGGAATTTTGACCGCGCAGAACGGATATCTAATCCTCATGGAAAAATAGCACAGGCGGAATTCATCGCTGGGTGAAATCCCGGTTTAAGGAGGGGAATCGCCATCCTGGTAAGTATACTTACCCTCTGGCTGTGCTCCATAAAGATAAATAAGATCGCACGCCCAACCAATGCCAAGCATAAAGGTTATTGAGGCTACAGATGACAACTGGCAATTACCTATCTCTCATCCTCTCAACACGTCCGTCCAAACAGTCATTCCCGCACCATAAGAGGATTTCAATCTTCTTTTATGATGCCGCTATTACGTCAACAATAATTATCACAATTATTTCATTAGCGGAGAATCAATTTTTTTTTTCATTCACTCATTCACTTACTCACTTTTCCCTCATTATTGACAGCGCCCGGGTGGCCGTTGATTTTTAATTGTAAATCAAATTAATTGTAAATTTGTTCAGTGCGTACAGAAGGAATTGATGACAAAAAAATTGACTGTCTTATTTTTTTAATGGAGAAATCATCAATTCGATTGTCATTCAATGATCATTTTTTTGGGAATTGATTCTCATGATTTGGATGGCTGTAGGAACAGAAGGTGACAACCGATTTGTAAACGAAACGAGTGACTTTTTCCCACATCATCATTCCCATGTCACTTTCCTCAACAAGCCATGCACTGTATCAAATTGTTTCTTCTCCGTTGGAATAATGACAATGTCACATGGAATAGAATTCTGGGGCTGATTCGTCTCGCCCCCGAAAGCACACGAAAATCTCTCCACGCTTTGAGAACTCTCGCACGTGCCATTATACCTCGGGAATTGGATCCGGACATGTTAAACGCTGTTGAAACGCGTTTCGAGACATTAACTTTCATATTGCCGTTGTAAACTCTAAGATAACTCCCACATGAATTTATCCTATGAATGTGGTTTATTAAAAAATAATTCATTAACAAAAATGAAAGAACGTCACGACGAATTAAAAAAATTGGCATTCTCTCCTTTTCGATTGATCATCGGAAATTGAGATCGCCTGAAAATTCAAAAAATTCTTTTCAGATTTTTCTTTACCCGACTCTTCGTTTTTTCCTTTTTCACTCAACATACATTATATTTAATTATTTTTAATGCGTGCATTCTTTCGAGTGGATATATACAACTGATTAAAAACGGAAGTGCTTGTCGCTTTTGGGCAGTACGTGGACAGGAAGAGGTAACGCAGTTCACCAACCAGAGAGCCCACCTTGATTTACTGGACGATATTTCCTCGCTCGGTTTGTATACAATCCTGACAATGGGCTTGACGTTTCATTTCGTTGTAATATTTCGTGCCCATCCATTTGTTCTACCTCAATTATTCTTTCAACATTTTTTTTTTACCTTCCACTTCCCACTCGTCAACGGAATGAAAAAAAAATAAATAAATAAATAAAAAATACCACCCCAAAAAATCCTTGAAGCTTTTTCACTCTATTCACCCCCAAAAATGGACTCGAGGATTTACGATACTGGAAAAATAAGTTACAGGGGATGAATATTATTAGAAATATTATATTCCATCGCAAGTGTGGAAAAATGACTTTTCGCACGGATTGCGAGTAACGTTTATCTTCTCAGCGTGTGGGAAAGTCACTTTTCCGCACATCACGATGAAAAATATTTTTTGAAATTGGAAAGGTGAAGAGAAAAATTAATAATGCCGAATTTGCAAGCCCCATTCTGTTCAAATATGTCCAACCGCGAAAGGCAATAAAATATCTTTATCTTGCTCGTGCCATTACCCCCTGATTTGGGGGATGCGCAGAAAGTGGTGGGGGAGATTTTGAGTAGAGTCGTTTCAATTTACATTCCTATCACGGGGCTTTCGTAAAGATAAGTCCATTTAAATAAATTAGTAATGCTATCTTCGTACGCTACTTGCTATAGACTGAGTGTTGGAGTAAATGGAGAGGGATGGGATTAAATGATATTTTATCAATTTTCACTGCGATTCGTTCCCACACGCGATAAAAAAATTTCCAGTGACACAGCCCCATCCAATAAATAATATTTTTACCCATGGCTCTTCATTCATTTATTATTATCATTTTTGATAAATTATTTGATTCGCGGTAAGGGGAAAAAGGAGCGATTACTTTTGGTATGTATGACCGTGGGACAGCATAATGGGGCATAACAACGGTGTTAACGCGTACCTACACAACCCTTCCTCTCGCATATTCCGCGTTCACCATAAACCACTGGGATACACTGGGATACAATTAAGCGGTGTTCACTACAAATTCAGTGTAAAGCCCCCCAGGAGTTTGAAAAATAGTCGTTTGAGGCTGAGAGCATAAAGGTATCACCCAACCACTTCGCTGCAAATTATTGCCTGAATTTGGTAAACTGTCTCTCTCTAGTTAACCCGCGCCTAATTCACATTACTTTAATTCATATGGTAATAGCCGGTACAAAGGAGCGAGTTACGGCAAAACTTTTCAACAATGCCACCAAATGCCGCACAATTCCCAAACTGAAGGGATTCACCACCTCTGCATGGGGTATTGTTACAATAATGTCATCCTATATTGTTCATCGTTGGGGTTCAATTATTTTTGCTATCGGTTAAATCTGGAAGGATGTACTCCCAGGTCTCGGAAAATTAATCAATGGTAGTCCATCGCAAAATTAATCAATTCTAGTCCATGCAAAATACCTCATGATGATAAATCTCCGATTAATCTATTTATCTGCGAAAAAATTCATGGAATATTGATAATTCACCTAGTGCCATATGCCATATAAGCCATATTATATGAATGCAGCATCCGAATAACAACTGCAGAGAGAAAACACGAAGCAGTTGTCGCGCAAGTCTAGTGCTCGCATTACAAATTTAATCTTACAAATGGATACCCCCCTCGGAAAACTTGGAAACAATGGAATACATATAGGAAATATTTGGTTTGAGACTGTGAGGATGCGTGTGGCAATATTGTTATAGAACCGATCCATATTCTTGGTTGGAAATGCCAATGGGGGGATGAGGTGGAGTAGTTTTAGTCGCAGATAGAGAGAAGTAGGCGAGAAATGTGAATATCCGTTTGGGGGATGTTTCAACTTGACACAAATGGGGTGAGAGAATTTGGGGCGGTGAGGGGGTGGTAAGGGGGTGGTAGCTCTATAATTCTCATTTATATATTGTGTATCGTACATCACGGGGAAATGCCAGTGGATATTTCCGGAAATAATTGATTAATTCATATATTCCCCAATCTGACAATTGAACGAGTGTGTGCTTAACTTGTCTCTCGGTGGTGCGAAGGACCTCACTCTACCGGATTAGCATAAATATCGTCCACAGGCACTGCCACCCTTCCACTTCTATGCACATACAAACCCTCTTCTCTCTTTCTATGTCACCGTGTAACCGGCCGTTTGTCATCGTTAGCAAAGCACACGTTTCCTGCGAATCTTCGGGTGCACGCAATCCCTGCCCGCATATATCCTTCTATTTCTTTTCTCCAGCGTTGTCTAGAGATTGTTTACACTAGAAATATTTTTGGGTAGTTGAAATGTAGAAAATATCGGGATAATGCACTCCACAAAGTTCAATTGCACATTATATTGCAGGCTACCAAAAAAAAAAAATTGAAATCGATAAAATTTTAGATAAATTAAAAAAATTCAGAGAGTAATATTTATATATCAAGTATACGATATAACTTTGAGCGTGCTGTTTATTTATTTTTATCATTCTCGTTGTTATCAATTTTATTGATTGATTTTTCAATTATTCAATTTTATGAATTTTAAAATTTCGATGAGACAATGAGATTTTCCACGGATTACGCTGAAGTTTTCGTGGAAAATTAATTTTTAAATTGCAAAAAAAGTAACAAAGGAAAAGGTGCAGTAATCCACTGGGTTCGGAGAGTATTCTTCGGACTTTTGCACCCTAACCCCTCGTTTATACCGAATACACTAGCGCTAAGCGTTTCAGCTATCCCACAACCCTCAACTATTAAATACTAATTCCATTAAAGCCGTCGGCGTAGGAAGGGTTGGCCCTCCGTTATTCTCTCACTCGTATATCTCTGACCCATATTTCATACGGCGAAAGCTTTTCAATCTGAGAAAATGTGCTCACTGTGCACCAAGTTGAATCCATCGGCGCCATAGACGCGTGTGATCCCCCAGTTCTAGATCTATAAAACAAATGTGATATACAAGAAAATTCATACCGATTGCTACTTGTGTTAAACTTCTTGTTCCTCCGATTACCGATAAGCCGTGGTACGGGATTTTCCCGAGTGCAGACTACACCCGATGCAATCGCCCAGAAGTTACCGATAAGCTTCCAATTTCAATTACGTTGAAACATTACTCCAGAATTTCTTCAACTCCCGGGAAATATGAGTGTCGATATCCTCCACCGGGATGTCTCCATGAAATTTATATTTAATCTCCTAAAAATAATTTTACAGTAATTTCCAAATTGAGTGAGTGTCAAATCTTGAAATAACTTGAATTACCGATTTGATTGATGTAGAAAAAAAAATGAAGCGGCAATGGACGGCAGTTGGAAAATCCCACTCCCCATTTATTCCACAATTACTAATCCATTTTACACTGCCAATAATTTTCATCCTCAAATAATCTCGAAGAGTCCCCTCTTGTTTTCAACGTTAACACATATACCCAATAATCGCAATAAACTCATTCACCGAGATGACGCTTTACTTGAAATCGCTTTACAACTGGCTGCTCGGGACATTATGACTCCATCGTTGGCTTCTTGATGGCACAGCCATGGCGAACAAGCCGTGAAACTAGTTAACCAAACTGCGGCACTTTAAATATAACCATCGCATTTTTACCCTCTTCCCTTTTTAGTAGACAACGCGACTTAACAACAATCCTAAACTATCCGAGAATATATCGAGAGTCGCTCGAGGGTATTGAGGGGTCAGCAAGATTTATCCCCATCTGCGGTGAACATCATGTTAAACACATGATTATTTTCCATATTTTTTTCCCCACAGCTTCACATTTAAAATGACCCCGCGGGCCTCATTATACGATATATAATATATTATGGAATAAATTCGCGTTAAATAATGAAAATGATAATCGGGGTAGCCAGAAAAAAAAATATAATGCAATATATTTGTGATGGAATGAAAAATATATCGATCGATCACCGAATTTTCGGGGTTAAAAAAAAATTCATTAAAAATTGGTTGATTAATTTGCAATCTCCCTTGGTTAGCGCGATAATTCAAAAATTTTTTTTTTGATTTTTTGACATTTTTTGAGTTGCGTTTGAGTGCGTCACAAATATAGACATGGGATTACTCGAAGTCGTAACGAAATCCGCGGCAATCATTGGTGTCTGTGGTAGGGGTTATACAAGATATACATAGTGGAAGTAGTCTACGCCTGGCGCATAACAAGATCGTAGTTATCCTGCGCCGAAGCGTTACAAGTTTAATTAAACAGCCTCGGTGTAACGAGTAAGCGCGTAGTAAAAGAGCCACTGATGGCACTTGTGCTCCGCCCCCGCAAAACACTCCAACCCCTTATTACATCCCCCCACCCATCGTTCAAATATATTTTTTGTCCCTGATATATTTGTGTTTGGCTCCATGGATGCGGTGATGCCATCAGACTGATCATTTTGTACATTTAACGCCCCAGGTGCAGAGAAATGCGTGGAAAAATCCATTTGTTTCTTGAATGTATTCATGTACATATAGAGCAATCGTTTATACGTAATAGGCAATTTTCTTGCGGTTGCCGGGCGTGTTAAAATATGTATAGGACGGTGAGGTTTAAACCCAGTGGCAGGGCAAACCTTGTTAATACACCCGGAAGTGTGAGTAAGGGCTCCTGGAGGGGAAGCTGTTACTGAATCATTTGCATCGCATCGCAACAATTTAGTTAAGCCCGCAAATCTCGGATGGATATAAACCCCTCGGTTGGATTTAAACTGTCAGCAAGTAGTTGAAACAACAATTGGTTTGTTGAATGAATTTCTGTCGAGTATTTTTTTTATCGAGAAAAAACGAATTATCCTCCATGACCTGAAAGATCTCCTATTTTTATTCACCGCTGGTACAACTCTTTATTTTATGATAAGTTTAGGGTAGAAACTGCTTTACCGACTATTAGAATTGTGAATCCCCAATTTTCTGGATTAACTTTGTCGCGTTTTATCGTATGAGATGATACCCTTGTCCTTTGATAATTTCAAGCTGATAATAACGTATATACGACCTAGATTGAGTGCAACGTCCATTAACAAGTGGTTGATAGATAGTCTTTCAAGTTTATTTCATGTCCAGGAATACTGTGAAATAAGTTGCTGAAGTCCTGATGATCTGTGAATAATAGTAATTCTTTTTGTGTTATATCATAATAATTTGGAAGAATGAAAATTATATCCTTACGGTATTGAATGTATTTAATGATATAACTATTATTTTTCCGGCGGTGAGATGGCAGGGAATTTGAGTCTTCATGATCATGAATTGCAAGAGCTTTTTCGTGGGTCCTTCGTCGTACCGATGTCTACGAAGAAGAACAAGAGCTTCCATTAGGCTGGTGTCGAGACCCAACAGCTGATGCAGACACTCGTGCATTTTTACAGAGTCCCTTGGAACCCGCAATTTAATGGGCGGAAGTGAAGAGCTAACCACAGGTGCACAGGCTAACGTCAGTCAGAGACAATCGATAACAACTTCGGTATATATTTCGGGGAATCCCCGTCATGTGGTTTTGACAGAATTTCCAGAGACTTACACCTTCAATTTTATCACCCCGCCTTCTTCGATACTTGCACGATGATGAATACTTCTGGAAATTCAATGTGCGTAGCAATCTGGCCAGTTTGGCTTCAGCTTTCTTTCTTCAAGGTTCAACGACACGTAATGCCGCGACAGGAAAGCACCGAAGTCTTCGGCTGATGTTCCATCCGGAAAAGGTAATGAGGAAAAAAGCCACCAATTATTCCAGGACCTTCATATATCAAAAATTTATTGCAGGGTCATCCATATTCAACAAGTGACGGACACAAATTCTTTAGGCTATTGCATATCTAAAAATACTGTGAAGTAGGTCGCGGAGGTTCTGATGACCTGTAAAGAGTGAATTTTGAAGGAAATGCTGATCACAATTTAAGAAAATATTCTTACCGAGCTGAAGGTATTCAGGGACATGAGCATAATTTTTCCTGCCGTCAGTTGACACGGGACGTGACTCCTCATAATCATGAAGTGCAGCAATTGCTTAGTCGGTTTTCGAGCGAGGTACCATTTAGCATTCATCCTGAAAGCCAATTACAGCTTCTGCTAATCCTGGAATGTGTAAAAAATACAAGTGGTACTCACAAGCTTTGTTTGGCTAGAAGACTGCTGTCGACGATCTGCTGCGACATGAAACACTGAATGAACAAATGCACTGTCAAAGCCACAGTGTAAACAAAACTCTTGAATAATCTGGCTAGTGCATTCAAATTAGTCACAACCTGAACAGCAGTCATGCTTATGACAATCATGTTGAGTCCAACCATAATAAAAAAATTCCAGCAGAAGATGTCTTCAATGGCGTTGGAAAACCTGAAAAAAAATTCATCCGTCAATCAGCACGAAGTCATGGCCAAACGATCACTTACTCAAGTACTCGATGATGTATGATGGCACACTTTCTCATATAAAGATATTCATAATTCTCCATTTTCTTCAAAGTGTATCGACCAACCGGCAGATTTTCAATGGCAAATCTTATGTCGAAAGAAGCACATTAAAAATCATGAGACCATTGCAATTGAAAAATAAAAAATGATACATTGTATCAGTACATCACCCCAATGCTGCAAATACCCCACAGGCATGTTGTGCATAAAGAAATAACAAAATATCTGCTGAGACAATCACCGTGACAATACCAAATATGGAAACAGCGGCAACAATTAAAATAGTGTAATAATATGCTTCCATGTCGAGTGGACCGTAGTCCACGGGAATGGCAAATCTCAAAGGCAGACTTTTGTTCGACGGAATGAAGAGGCGAACAATTTTGACGTACACCGGTTCACTCACGAATATGAACCACGCGCTGTAAAGACCAGCTGAAAAATCGGTAATCAAAGATGAAGAACTCATAAACAATCTAATTAAAAATCTTCTGACAACTGACCTGAATACAGTACAGCCCTTTGTTTTCCCAAGAGAGTGTATTCATGGAGCAATTGCAGTCCGTTGTCCACTGGAAAAATACTCCAGTCTTCCTTGATCTGTTCCAGAAGTATCCGAATCTGCACATGACGAAACGTTTGGAGAATGCAATACCAGCTGATCCATTCCATTTTTGCTGATCAATTCTTGAGTGAATGAAGGCAGTGCTCGTACCTTATCAGAGTTGAATACAAATGTGGCTAGATTACAAATGACTGCGACATCAGTGATGAAGGAACTGGTGGTCTCCAAGATGAGGTCAAAGTCGTCGTAGTGACGTACGATCGCAAGGATCTGCAGGAAGAACTCAAATTGAAATGGTGGAGGCAGAAGTTTTTTTATTTACCTGGGGTATGATTTGAATCCAATAAGTGAAGTGTAGGACAATGCGGCACACGATGATTTCCTTTCGCGATTGATACGGCCAGTGACCAATCGCCCGGAACACAGTCTTGGTGAACCAGTAGTAAGGCTGATCCCAAAAGTCCTCACCATTCCTCATGACGTCCATTCTCCCTGGGTTTAGAACGAGCTCTGCTTTTCTCTCTGGTATATCGGTGGCTTTATTCTGCATCGATTGAGTCTTCATAGTCAACTCCAAGGAGACCCTTCATTATGCCAGCGTCGAGACCCAACAGCTGGTGCAGACAGTTCAGCATTTTCACGGAATCATTGGGAGCAGAAATTTAGTGGGCGGAAGTGAAGGGTTGAAGACAGCAAGTGTCAGTCAAAGACAATCGATATCAACTTCGGTATTCATTACTGAGAATCTGCGATTTCATGGTCTACACCTTCAATTTTCGCATCACCCTTGCACCCCGGTCTCGGGGTTTATTTCAATACCAATAACTCTTTCCCTTTAGTCTTTCTTTGAAGAACACAAAAAATTCATGAATCATTACCGCGAAATATTGAATTCGAATTTGGTAAATCGGGGATTTTCGGGGACCGAGCGGGATATTTTACCGACCATTGGGCTCAACCCAACAAATGGTAATTATGTGGTCTGACTTGACGATTTTGTGTTCTCCCTCTGTGAATCGTCCTTGGAACTCGTTTTCGTGAATGCCAACGGCTTTCAAATTCAAATACCGCCAAAAGAGAACTCCAAACAAGCGGCATAACCTCCAAAACCTCATCAAAACCGTTGGAAAGAGAATAAAATTTTCCTCAATCACCCGGGGATAAAATAGACTAATGGAGACCCAGCAGAAGGGCAAGTGCATCACCCTGAAGGGCTCTGCGGAGTTGGTGAAGAAATATCTTCGTGAGTACAAATAAATCAAATAATTATCACTGATGACGAGAAAATTGATCCTGTTGATTGAATCTAGTGTATGGGATCAACAGTATCTTGTATCAGCGTGGAATATATCCACCGGAGACCTTCGAGCCAGCTGATCACTTTGGAATGGTCATCCTCACGTCGACTGACGAAAAAATAAAGAACTTCCTGGACACTGTCCTGGATCAGGTCGAGGACTGGCTGCTCCAGAGGAAAGTCCATCAAGTGACTCTTGTCATCACTAACGTAAACACGAAGGAGGTCCTTGAAAAGTGGGACTTCAAGGTCGCCTACGAGGGAGATGGAGATGGTCAGGGTAATGGGGAATTACCTGAGGTGGGGACCAAAGACGTCAAGACCATCCAGAAGGAAATTCGAGAGGTCATCAGGCAAATAACAGGTGGGGCTTTATTTTATTCTCGATAATTTTCTTTTTTTGATCGTTTGTGTAAAGGGAATTGAATTATTCATGTGATTTATTTACAATTGTGTGATAAATTCGGGGAATTTAATTGTTTAAGGAACTGTGAGCTTTCTTCCACTTCTGGACTGCCTCTGCTCCTTCGACATATTCACCTACACTCTACCAGATGTTGGAATCCCCAAGGAATGGGACGAGACACAACCTGTGTTCATCGCCAACAGCCAAGAGGTCCAGCTGCGAACATTCTCAACATCAATTCACAAAATGGATACAATCGTTAGTTACAGAAACACGTAAAACCTTCCTCCATCTTCCCACCACTCAAAATCGTACATTCGTAAGTTTTTCATTCCAAGAATTTTTATATTATCGTATTTTTATAAGCGGCGTGTTAAATAAACAGTATTTGGGTAACCCCAGATGATCTTTTGATCAGAATAAAAAATGATGGAATTATTTAATCTTGGGGCTGAGGGATGGTCGAGGATTTTTTTTTTTTTTGTGTTTCGGGGATTTTTATCGCGATACAATGGCATTAAATTTTAGGACGTGTTTATACCCGGAGGAGAAAGAATAATTGGGTTATGGTGGACATTTCACTGGCGCCCGAGTGGTTTTAATGGCCACTACACCCACCTAAAATACTGGAAACTCACCCTGTCGGAAGTCTCGAATTACCGTGAACCATTAAGTTTGTCTTGGCTTAGATGAGAAATATTCGCCGTCAAACCGACCTCTGGGGCGCACAAGTCTCTGCCAAGTTTTCGTTAATCGTAAGATCCGTATGAAACGACTCTTCAGTTTCCAACTCGTTTAATACTGTCTTGAATTTTACTGCAATGAGTTTAGAGAGGACATTGTAGCATTGAAATTGTAATGGGCTTTCGGGGATGAATATTCAGATTTCGATGGGAATATTAAATAAAGGGGTGGGCGAGCTCGAGGGGTAATAAAAGTTTCAAGACGGGATTATATTTACTTTGAGGTGGGCGGGTTTAATTGGGCGGTAATGAGAGGATTTTTGATGACATGTGGATGGGAAAATGAGGTCTTGGGTTTTTCTCGGATATCTTCCGTGGGAGGGGACTTAGAGGAAAGTGTCATTCGACTTTATTGTGGGGAAACTCGTGCTCTTGGTTAATGATCTTATGACTTTTTACTGCAGAACCACTCGTTTTTACGGTGGACGCTGTTTTTTCACATGCCGCAGTGCGAAGTTATTATTTTCTGTTATTGATGTTAATTAGTGTCTGAAAATTGTGGGATTGTCTCCCGTGATATGGGTATTAATTTATTTATTTGGGGAGTTCATTTTCATGTTTATCTTATTCCACTCAACAAACGAAAATAAAAATAAAGAGATATTTCCTTGGCATCGTCCCGGCGTCGTGAGGCATCGAGGTCGACGTCTTTGAGCCCACGGTGCATCGTCCCCTCGTATGTATAATTATAACGTAACCAACTTACCTTAGTTGAGTTGGGATGAGCCGGACGTTCGTTTTCAAGTTGATATTTGCCTCGTGAAATTTTTGAAAATGCGAGTTTTCTCGATTTTTTGGGACTTCCGGTGGCGGTTTTTTTGGATCTCGAGATGAAACGAGAGTTGAGAGTTCTGTGAGGGCAAACGACTCTAGGTTCTATTTCCGGACTCGTGAATCATCTTGGGTTCACCTATCTTCCCGTGATTCTAACAGAATATATTCCACTTGTGCCCATTAGAACACTTGGATGAGTATCAGATGGGACTCGTTGATTGGAGTGGATAATCGATTCGCGTTCTCCGGAATTGCAGATGAATCTAATCGAGATAGTGAAATTTTTATTAAGATCTAAATTTACGGAATAATAAAACTTGAATTACTGATGTGAAACAAATTTAATTAAATTATTTTTTTACAAACGGCAGAATTAAAGAAATATGTTCATCATTAAGCTGTAAATTTGTTTCAATACATTCTCATCTTATCTTACCAGCTACAAGACATTTAGAGTTGGACATTGATTTTTTAATTTGCAATTTTTATTGCTATAAAGCGATTTCTCATCGTTTTCAATTTTTTCCTCTTCTCCAAACAGTATATCTCAAATAATCTCACAAAATTCATGTAATAATCTTCTCAAAAGCTCCAATCCATCGTTAATTAATAAATAAATTAAATATTCTCTCGGTTCTGAGTATTAAAGGCAATCTGATGCCCCAATTCAACGAAAGAAAAATCATTTCCCATCGTCGCTTAAAGTAATAAAAACCTAGTTACTCGATATCTCGTGTAAATTTAACCGTTAAGTTTGTATACATGTATTTACATGTGAATAATTAAATATAACGTACGACGATAAGTAATAACAACTTGGGAATACTATATAAATTATAAATAGAATCTCGAGACTGACGAAATCCGGCGTTTAAAAATAATATTCTCATTTTATTCAGCTTCGATAGTGGAAAATGTCGTCATGCGGGCTATTCTGATTTATTTATTATCGATTTATTCATTAATTTGCGGGTTATTTTCGTCCAATCAACCTTAAATACGTATTTGCTTGCAGTCGGCAGTGTTTCATTGGAAGACACTTCTTTGGTATTTCATATTTCTGGAGAAATATTCTTTATGAGGAGTAAAAATACATAGGGAAGGGGTTGGGGGGATTTATTTTTTGTTTTTTTTCCTAGAGTCTGAGGTTTTACGGCAAGAGGTGAGGCAATCTGTGCAAACGCTCGCTGTTTTTTTTTTTTTTCAATATCTCGGAAACCGTGGGAGATAGCGGAATTTGTGTCATGAATTTTTTATAGAAAAATTCATCCTCTACAAAAAAGCTCCTCATGAAAATTATTCTATTCCCCGTATATTCCAAGATATCTCCAAAAAACCGGAGGCTATCCCGGAGTCGTGGGTCTTCCCATAATTTTTTTATTCACTGATAACAATTTAAATATCTCGACAACGCGTGATTTTAGAAAAAAACGTGAAATAAATTTTTTGTCGGAAAAACTTCAAGCTGCAAAAAAGGTCCAGCAAGATTTTCTGTGTATCCCCTCAATTTCGAGATATCGCGAGAAAATCGAAAGCAAAATAAAGGAATCTCGTTTCACCACTCCCCTCCTGTCAACTCTCTTCAAATACATAAAATAATTGCTGTGAACAATTGCTCACTCTCGGAAAAACATTACAACAATGGATCGGATGACGGAACGACGACAACTCTCTCGGGATTAATAAAAAAAAGTGGTAATAACTCGTGTTACAGAAATTATGGAGAATTATCTAATTATAAATATCTCTCTCGGATCGAAAAATAATCTAGGCGATATTCGAAATTTGAAAATAATTGTTAAGAAACAATGGGAACGCCAAAGTGAAGTAAATTATACCGATATTTGGGTTCCATGACACATTCGTTAGCAGTAATACGATGTTGATAGGCCCAACTTGCATGAGAATGGCGCTCTATGACGATTGTACACACTTCCGGTACTTATCACGTCCTTGGTCTCGCATCGTAGACCCGTAAAGCCCTCTGCACATCTGCAATACAAAAATTTATCATATGAATCGTTATTGTGAAACCGCAAACAAATTGAAACGAAAAAAAAAAATCGGTTAATATCCCCTCGCCTTTCATTTCCGCCCACAACCATTTGCACTTCTGCAAATACCCCTTACTCCATTAAAAATTGGTAAAAACACAATAAGACCTTTTTCCCAGAGGATTTCAAGGGCTACAAAAAGTTTCCCTTGAAAATTCCTGTGTCTCCAATAGGTGACGCGATATTCCCAAAAAAATGGGTGACCGTTTTGAAAAAAGAGGAATTACTATTTTTTTTTTGCCGGGATAATTGGGGAAAATTGGGAAAAATTGGGGCAAATTGGTGTGAATTTTTACTGGGCCCGGAAAGTGAGGGAATGATCTCTTCAAGGTTCTTAACCCCTATTTTCTCCCCCCTGAATGTACATACGAAGCCCCCGAAAGAAGTCTCGCCACGGAACTCGAGACGCTTCTCTGGAAAATAATTTGGTCGTATCTATTTATAAGTCCCAACGAAATGAGAGTCCTCTTCTCTCTTATAGTGGGTATTGGACCTTACGCACTGTTGCTATATAGTTCGCCCCACTGGGCGTTTTACTCTGGCAGATGTGTCGCGAAAATTTAGACGTCTCGGCACTTGCGTTAAATCCCTACTTTCAGAGCATGTGCCACTACATTTTTTTCAATCTCCAATTTTTTATTCTTTTTGGTTCCTCCTCGCGCTTTATTTTTTCTCATGTATTTTTTCTGACTGTTTTGACTAGACAGTGGGACTTGGTTTTTTTTTTCCCAGGGTATTTTTATTTTTCTTTTCGATCTCGAGGTTTATTTATTCCAGAGGGTGATTCGGCTTACCTGCAGGCTGGCTCGCCAACGGTCTCGAAGAAGAGACAGGTGCCCCCGTTCATGCAGAAATCACCGGCTATGGGGCACGGTTGCTCCTGGCGAGGCCATGCTGATGTTGCTGGGGGGAATTAATGAGTTTTTTAGGGTTGTCATTGCGAAAAGGTGAAGGGGGGTGGTATTTGAGGCCGTGTATCGCGGGATTGAAGGGGGATAGCGAAATTTTTGTGGGAAACATTTTTTTACCTCTTGAAATTTCCTGCAAATTAGCTCCCACAAAGATTTTTCTATTTCCCATACATCCTGAGATAATCCTCAGAGGGAAAATCGACGACTGGTCAAATCGAAAAATGACCGCGAATTTGTCCGATATTAAAGCGGATAAAAGCGGAATAAATTTCCGAAAAATTACTCACTGGTATCTGGAATCTTCGCATCATGCACGACTAGAAGTTGAGCCGCTAAAGAGGCCCGATAACCGGAACTACTTTGTGCAATGCACTCATATCGTCCGCTGTCCTCAGGTCGTGCGGAAATAATGACGAGTTTCGATCTTCGCCTGAAAAATAACATAAATCCGTGAATTACCAGTAACTAATTCCCGCTTCAATCCTAATTTAATATCAATCCTATAATTCATAAAATTTTTTCAGTGGATTTGTCCCCAAAATGAGAGATTTACGTTCGAAGGATCATGGATCCACTAGGTACGCAAAAAGCCGTTATGAATGACTCCTTTTAACTTCTTATTAGGATGATAAGACACAAGTGGGGTTTAAGGAGGCATCATCAAGAGGGAACGTAACGAGATGAAAGGGAAACGAAAAGCCGGCCGACTTGTATGAACGAGGTGGAATATATGTATAAATAGAATAGGCACGAGGGGGAGCTTGAGAGAGAATGAGTGCTAGTCTAGACGGAGTGTCGATTTTTCCTAAGGAACTAAATTTGAAACTAACGTCCCTCCTGAGTCGTCCGCACTCTGTCACTTTTTTTTTTTCTCGATGGAAAAATGGAGAGGAATCGGAGGTTTTATAACAGGAGGCGGAATGAGAAGTTGGCGAACCATCGGCGAAGCGAAAAAAAAAAATAATTTCAGGATTAAAATCCAGGAAAAATTCAATTATACACGGGGGGTTGGAGTCGGGAAAATGATTGACCAAATGGTGAAAATGAATTTTTTTTTTTTCCTCACCGTTTGTGTTGAATTTTTAGTCCCCTACGTGGATTAAGTGGTACACCGTCCTTGAGCCAGTGGACACGCGGAGGTGGTGAACCCCTCGTTCTACACACGAGTTTAACCCTCTCCCGGGTCTTCGCCACTGAATCCCTGAGCTCTGACAACGTCACTTCTCGAACTGAAACAATTTAATTCACATTTCCATTCAATTTTCATTTTTTTTTAATGGTAGGAATTGATTTCCCCATCAGCACACGTAAAAATCATAATTATCCGCAAAAAATTCCGCTAAATATACTGATTTCCGCCATTTCCCAAATTTTCGTCTCCACCTGCGTTGTAGATGGCGCGTAAGGCCCCGGAGGCGTGCGCAGAAGGGGTGGCGGTTCCTACGCAGGCGTGGGCCCGTTGAAAATGGGGGTTGGCATGAAAAATGTAAAAAAAAATGGGGGTTGGGGTGAGGGAGGGGTATGATAGTGTGGTCCTTTTTTTTTTCAATCCGTTTTTTCCTATTTTTTTTCAACATTTTGGTAAATTAAACATCCGAGTGTCACGACTCTCTCGTGAGATGGGCTACAGCCGACGGAGCGCATCCCAGTGAATTCTATTTCGGTTTTCCTCGTAGATTACACACAGGAGTCCATGGTGTTGGGCTTAGGTGCTATAATTAGAGGCCATCGGGATTCGTCGGCGTAGAGGAGAGATATTCGTCGATCATGGCGCACCATTCAGTGGATCCACGAGTCTAATTCGATTCATTAATCGGATTCAATTGAGGGTGATTGAGCCAGAGTCGTGGGTGATAATTCAATTCACTAACCAATTCGTTATCTCGAACGAGTCGAATTAAAAATTTCCACTAATTATCGATTTATCTCGACTAATCATTTCAGACTTGCAATTAATTTCTTTTCCTCTGCATATGGCAAAAATTGGAAAAAATTGATTTATTTTCTTTATTTATTACCCTCGGGGCTGCCCTCGCGATGACAACATGAAAAATTAGTTATTCGGGGAGAAATAATGGTGTAAAAATACGAATTGGAATTGTGCTAGTGACCTGTTTTCCTTCGGAGAACTCGCGATTTCCCAGAATTTTCCAATTTTCCTTCCTCAAAATACGTTCCGTCATTTTCTGAGAAGTGAATGAAGCGAGATGCCCAGACTTCTGGGAATGCAACTGACGCTGGAATCATCATCCATCACTTTATTATGTTCCACATATCGCATGCTTTTCACGAAAATACCGGGACGATATCATCGCTGTTCTTTCCATGGAAAAAAAATTTGCATTCCGAGAGGAACTGATGAAAATCAAATATACGAGCGGCTGAACCCTCAGACCTCGTCACTCTCGGGACTGCAGGGTGATCGGGTAATGGACAATTAATTAATCTAATTACAAAGTGAATTATTTAAAAAAAAATTATGGATCAGACTGGAGGATTTCCAATTCCACCGAATGCCAGCGGCACCCACTGATTCCACTGAACTTTAAAACGCGAGTGGTTTGTTGGAATCAAAACAAAAATAATTCCTAAAACCAGTCGATATGACCTTTTTCTCATTGAACTTGACAGAGACCCGTCTTTCCTCAGAAGTTCTATTCGAAGACATCCGCAAATATTGGCAATCGTCAACAACTTAAAATCACTCTTCCCAATTTTTTATTACAATTCTCAATTGAATTATTGATAAATTTATTCTGGCATTGCGATAATAACTGGAGATCTGACCGTAAATTAATTAATTGTATGATTTTTTGTATGCAGAGTAATGATTATCGATTTAATTATCGAAATGATCAGACGTGATGTGCGTCTGACCAAAGATCGCCCGCCACCACTTGCCCCCGAATTCAGTGATAAATTCTCCGTTTCCTCACCCTGAAAAATCCACAAATAATCGAAACCCCTGGGGGTGGGACTCGTCGTGCCTCAGGAGATGTTCCCCAGATAATAAAATAAGTCTTGCGATGCGAGTCGACTGGGTAGGGTAATCAAACACCGGATGAGAGAGAGTCAAAACAAAAGAGAGACAATCCAGGGACTTTTGAACCCCTCGAGAGAGATGAAAAACCCATCTTCTGACCCCGTGGGATTGATACAAATGCGAATTGAGGAGTGGATGAGTCATCGAGACGTATTGACCCCTGGGGAATTGGAAATGAAGAAATGGGTCGCTTTGGAGTCAATGGAGATGTCATTAACCGGGTCATTTATTCCTCATCTATTTTCCCTGATTTAACGAGCATAACGCGTGGCGGTTTCATCATGCCAAGACGACGAATCCATCTTCTCGGTGTTGGGGAAAAACTCATGGAGAATGGAGTTAAAAATAGCATGGCGGAGGGCAAGTGGTGGATAATGAGAGGCAGACGGTTTTTCGGATTTTTCTGCAGGTGAATTTTTTTCATCTTCATGAGATTAAAACCCGTGTATCTCCGAATTGAACGGTTTTTCGCGAAAATTCGATGAGTTTTTTTAACTGGGAAATTTGATTTTCTAGGGAAATGGTCTTGTAACATGATCTCGACATACGACGCGCTTTGGAGATTAACGGGAATTTAAATCAGTGAAATTGATGTGACGCAATTGTTTTATCGGAATTTTCACCTGTTGACTATTGAAATATGGGTGATAAGCAGGTGGTGGTTGAAATATCTCTGGCGCGAGTTTGAAATAATATATTTAATTGCCAGTAACAAAATTCCTTGGGAAATTAATCACCAGTAAAAAAAATGTTGTAAAATTCCCCGCCGAAGCCACTTGTTTTCCAAAAAAAAAATCACTAACAAACCGGTGAAAAAAAAATCAGCCACCACTTCCACTTCGTGATCCTGATGGTAACCGATCAATGTCCACATCATAAATTCTCAGAAACGAATGGGTCATGAGTGTCTCTCTAGATCAGTTACAATGTCCCGTCCTTCGGCGATCGCTTCAATCAATTGAAGTGGCGAAGAAACAAGTCAATCTCAGCTCCATAGTCTCTCCTAAATAGCTCTAAATCTATTATAGATAGAGACACGCGTGTCGGGAGTTTTTTGTGGAGAATTTTCTCAGCTACAAAAAAGGTTCTTCATAAATTCTCGTACCTCCCTCGGATTCCGAGCTATCTCCTAAAAACTGGAAGCATCATTCAATAGCGAAGTGGTGAAACGAAGCAAATCTAGGATTCCATTACCATCGATTGATCTCAGAAGCTGTCGATTTTAAAAGAAAAAGTCAAAAGACTTTTTTTGTGGCAAATTAGATGGACTATAAAAAATCTCTTTGGGGTTTTCCCATTGATGCCATAGGTTTCAGAATAAATAGGTGATAAAGGGAAATGGCAAGTTCCAACTTATCGAATTCTTGTTCGACTTGCGTGATTTAGATCGTTTTACCATTTCGCCACTGAATTCCTCGGACATGGTCTAGAAATCGAGTCTTTCGATTAATTCAGCGTCAATTGTCGCTACGTGAGTGCTAGAGATAATCTATTCCAAGAATCGCATGGACATCCAGATGGCGAAGTTTCTCATGCTGAGGAGGTGCCCCTACTCAGTATGCCAAATGATGCTCGACTAACTAAGACCTCAATGCGAAATAAAAATACAATTTTGCTATCATTGAATGAGGACAACAATTGGATATACACTGAGAACCCCAACAAAACGAAAAAAAAAACGTCCTCCAAATCGATTGACCTAGAAGTCAACTCCCCACGTCCTGAACAAGCAATAATCTCGAGAACGGGGGTCTCCACGAAAAAAATGTCAAAGACCTTTTCCATGGAAAATTTTCTCATCTTCAAAAAAGGTCTTATGATGATTCCACCTAGGACCCCTCATTACCGAGATTCATGCGCTCTTCTGTAATTAAAAAAAATGGATGTCCCATAAATTATGGAAAAAATGACGCAACGAGTGGCGGAATGCCCAAAAATTTTGCCCAAGTCCCCGAAAAATGCCCAATCAACCCCCTCCCCGTGTCCAACTCACCGAATTCCTCTCGTAATACGGGTCTCGAGACATCGAGTACACAAACGTTAACGTATACATTCGCCAGTGTTGTTTTCTGTCCAAAGCGGTTTAAAAAGAAACGTCCATGCGTGGATCGTGACCGGCATCTCTATAATACCCAAGGCACTTGATGTCTCGTGCGGTTGTTAGTTCGCGGAAGAAAGTTTCGAGGAAGATTGCGATGGAAGCGCCGTCGGGCGCACTCGTACAATTTCATACGATGCCGAATTTTTCCCGCTAACGAAAGAATTGACAGGCGTCGCGCAGTCTGGGAAGTCCCGTGGCCCCCGGGGAACCCCCCAACAACCAACAATAGCCATAACCTCAAAGAAATATTGAAAAAATTCCCCCAAAAGTGACTGAATGGATTGAAATGGTTGGGAGGGTAGGGATTAGACTGACTCGTACAGTCACTTATCTATTTGGACGGGTGAGTGCGTACAGAAAGCGTTAGTCGAGCTCAGAGGTGCCCCATACAGAACAGAAACTACTGGCTATCCGATTATGGTCACACGGGGCCGTACGTGCCTTGGATACGTATATGTATAATACAAACCCAAGATATCCAGACCTCCCTCCACCTCATTCCCCACTCGACCAATTCCCTCCCCCGAATGGGGATAGCCACGTTACTACCATATAACAACATCAAACAGCTATGAAACCGTATATAAAATTCACCCAAGTCATTCCGTATGAGTCAATGCCCAATGATTCGATGTGTGAGAGCTGCTACCGAGCTGTCACCAATTGATTATTTCTCATCGCTATCTCAAACCTATCGGATTTTCTTCATCTTTCAGGAACAATTGTCGGTTTTGTTCAACAACTCCTGGACTATTGAGACCAGTGACGTCAGGGGTTGAGGGTGAACTGATTGCCATCGAATGAGATCAGAGTCGTCGGGCTCAATTTATTTGCGTATTTGTTTCTCTGAGTTTTTAATTCAAATTGTTTTCATGTTACAACAGGGTCGAAATGCCAAGGACAAGAATGACGAGATTGATTTTGATACTTCTGATGTGAGTGATTTAACTATCACCTGTTCGGTGAGAGCAAATGATAAATTACCGGATTCTGTAAGAAACCAGAGTACCTACCGTAATCGGGTCTGACAACAGCCTGAACCGCCTGTTCATTCTTCTTACTCCGTAGCACAGGCTCCCCGAGAATCGTAAAGTTTCTAGGTCCCACACGATTCACAAACACAAGATACACCTTTCCCCTTTTAATATCCGCCCTAATGATCCTCTGATTATAATAATCGATGACTCTATTAGCCTCGTAACTAACCCTCTGTCCATCCTGGACCATCCCATTGTTCTCATTTCGACAAATAGAGGATTTGTTTCCCAAACTTTTGGATGTTTTATCCCTGAAGTGAAGCCTGACACTGTCATTTTTTCTAAGCGGCTGAAATCCAGTCTGACTCTTGTAAACTTGTTTAACTTCAAATGTGACAGCATAGTTGGATCCTGGTGTTCTTGATGATGACATGCTCCTCGCTTTTCCCTCAAAAACAGTTGGTGACAAAAAAGCCCGATTCGATATATCCATATCGGGACACCAATTTCTACCCCTGCAGTTGCCCCCATTTTTTCGCCGACAATTTTTTCGTCTCTCCCTCAACGAATCACCCTTGACACGTGTTGATCTGACAATTCTAGTTTGATTATCACTGGTTGGTGTCACTTGGTAATAACTGTAGTCTATTTTACGCTGTACATATTTACTATTACCCTCTTGCACATCGATATCATCGATAAATTGTCTAGTTGGTGGTGGTAGCGGTTGTACCAGTGCTAATGCACACCACCAACCGCTTAAAAATCCCGTGATAACGAAGGAAGCCCGCATTATCTGCACTGCAACACCCTCAAATAATTTGAGTGCTACACAGCGTCCTCCCCTATCCTCATCATTAAAGAGGATACGAGGACGACGCGTACGTTTTAGTAATAAATAACAATATCGATTTATTATATTATCATGTAGATTGCTGGTGATGGTGATGAGGCTGATGGATTGACACGTTAGTCCCATCACCTTAGCAAACATTTGATTGTCCTTGGCTGTTTGTCACTCGTTGCTTTCAATTCATCGGTGATTGATGATCTTCGCTCGTTCATCTTAATTGTTTAATTATCATTTAACTACCTTTTGGTGGTCTGTTGAGTCTTGGACAATCTCATTGGTATTCGGGCATTTATTTTCCCCGTTCATTTGACAAAACCGAATAAGTGTCGATAGATTGGGGGAAGGATTGACATCCAGCGGTGAGACATTGATTTTTTATCATTACTCTTTGGTAATTGGGATTGCCGTCGCTGATTTGTCGTGGATCAGGTCGGAGTTGCTGTAGTAGTGGTCGTTTCGAGCTCTTCGGGATTTTTCGTAGCAGATGCACGAGGGTATCATCGTTCTCTCATGTACCGGAGGGGGGTGGGTCACTGGGGGGACGAGGGGGGCTACTGCACGTGTGCACGTGGGGGATTTGAGTGCATTTTTACACGGGTTTATCAAAAAGTAATTTTTTTTTTATCGCAGCTTTTCACACTCGGATACACTAGGCTCATCAAAATTTTTCCCGCAATTTTCCTCTTATTTCCGCGAGTGCTTTCGATTATCCGGGGAATTATCAATTTTTTACTTGTCAATTGGTTTTTTGGGAATTCGGTTTGACTGCAGTTTTGGAATTCTTTTGAGTTTTGATAGTGAAACTTTGATGGTTTTTTTTTTTTTTTATTATTTTTCAGGGTGGTATTTAAATTGGGGATGTGTTTTTGTGACGAATGTACAGCGGGAGTCCGAAAGGCACACGCGACGGTTGAAATTAGACTGAAGTGGAGTATAACTGGGTGGCTGTTGAAAGGCCGGTGACAGAGACCAGTGACTCCTAGTGGGCGCCGGTCGAGGCTCCCACAAAATACTCCTTAATGCGCGCGCGCACAATATAAGTTATACAGGTTTTTTTTCCCCTTATTTCCTTTTTTATCTTTTTTTTTTTCATTCTTTATTCTGATACTGCCACTGTCCACGTCCAATGTGTCGTGGGACTGTCGTCCCTATCTCGTCCATATATCTACACCTTTATTTCCGCGGAAGGGAGTGGAAAGGATGAGCACCGGGGATTGAGAGGATTTTGCGAATTCGAATTATGGGGTAATTCTTCATTTATCAACGCGATCTGAATTCCCAAATGATTAATTTATTTGGAATTATTATCAGAACATGCGCGTTGCAGTGAATGATAAGAGAATTCTCTGCTCATGTGCGGCTTATGCGGTTGCGCGGTTTATTTGGTTTATTTGGTTTTTTAATTCAATTTTATTCTGCAATTTGTTATAATTTTTTTGGGGGAGTATCTGCTGAATGTCTCCATCAGTTTATTTTACCCAATTTTTGGGGGATAATAAACGATATTCGGCTGGTGTGGTAGGGGCTTCAGCCCGTGGTAACAAGAGCTAAATGATTTCAGAAATGGAACGAGATCATTAATCCATCCGTCACCAATTTATCAACAACCAGTGGTAATTGTTCAGAACCACTCAAATTTCTCTCCCAATCTCCAAACAATCAGAAACGAAGATTGAAATATTTTCCAGCGGCTCGATCTAGCCCATTCAAAACATTTCAACAATCTCCGCAACGCGTGGTCTCAAAAAAAAAAAAAAGGAGATATTCAACGTCAAACGAGAGATATATCAACTCGCACCTGCTGAAACGGCACGCGCCGCAGGTCTTATTATATACACATTGTATCGTATATCTTTTTAGTACACATAACACGTGCTGTATCTCACCTCATCCCCCGCCAAAACTACGTCATTGAATTAATCGACTAGATACGAGGGCCTGAAATTGACAAAAAAAAAGATCAAATAAAATAATCACGCGAAAGGGGAAAAGGAGTGTCAATCCAATCATCGATCCCATCTCCATTCACTGCGTTAAAAAAAAAAAGATGTGCAAAAAAGTCAGGATAAAACCCACATAAAATAATCCAAGTCGAATCTTTGTTTATCTTTATCTCCTTTTTTTTTTCTCTACCTCCAATCATTTTTTTATTCTCTCTTTATTTTCATTTTTGGGGTCTTGTCGGCTCGCGGCATGGCCACACGTGATTACAGGGTAGCCGCCACTCACCTCGAAACTCGGGTGGTCCTGGTGGACCAACCAGGGACTCGTCGAGATCGAGAATCAGTGCCACCATTTTTTTTTTCGTTTTTTTTTTTCCATAAAATACAGTGGACAAGTGTGTGAATTTTTTGTCAAGTCCCAAGGGCCTGGGACTACTGCAGATAATTTTTTTTCCAACGACAAATCAATTTTTGGAAAAAATTTTTGGCCACGGATGGCCCGTGGAATTTTCTTGCCTCTTTTACGCTGGGATTTTTTTTAACAGCTGTCTCCTTACATCCACTCGTTTTCGTGGATTTTATGGTGGGTATATATAGGCCCTGCAGGCGCGTTCGACCACTAACTGGCCTTACTGTGTCTTATTAGCGATACAGTCAATGAGAAAAGTTTATACGAGTCAATCCCTGTGATGAGTTAATCGGGCCATACGCTGGGGAAAGGAACGGAGGGGTCGAGGGGGCTCAGCCCCCTTCTGCCCCCCCAAGCGATGGGAGGGGCTGACTTTTGTATACACAACACCAATAGCCCCTCGATCCACTCTGGGCCCTCAAGATGCAGAAGGCCCTTTTTTCCCAGTCAAAAAATCATCCTCATTTCACTATTTTTACAGCATCCCTCACCGTGCCCTCCGGATGTCACTGAATTTTCCCCGGAATTCCAGAAAATAAATCCCGAATGTCTTCAATAGGAGATACATCATCGAACCGATAATAACCGATTTAAATCCAGGGGCATGATGAATGTCTTTGGTTTTTTGATTATTCATTTGCATGATTCCATCCTTTTGATTCTTATTGCATTTATTTTGCCGGCGGCATCGACACACGGGAAAAAAAAAATCCCAGGGTGTAAGAGAAGGGTACACTATACCCAACGTGTAAATTCCTGCGTGTGGTCGCATACTCGGCGACGGGGCAGCCGATTTAAATATCAAAGGCGGCTTAAATCTGACCTATACCACGTTGAATCATGTTACCTACTCCTATATTATACAGTGGCTTACAAAAGTCTCGTTACTGGGTAATGATTGATAACATTGTCAAGGTGTCCTAGAAAATCCAGGCCGATCTATTTAAAAAATCATCCCCTCGATTCCCCAAATTTTCCCCAACCAAACCTCATTTGATAAAAAAAATTAGGATTACTCCTAGAAATCGACTTGATTGGCAAAACGAGTGATCGCACAGAGAGAGATTTCGATATAAATTACGGACTTACCATCTCAGCATAAACTGCAGGCCCCAGAAAAATTACTATACCACCCAGTGATGTTTCAAGTCCAGGGAGGTCTTTATTTTCCTGGTAAAAAATTCAGTTGTCGAAGTCTTTGAGTAATTTTTATTTTTTTATTTTTATTTGTGAACCAAAGACTAGTCACAGGAATTTCTCTTGTACTTCCTCCACGTGAGAAAAACGACAGGACAATCTAGTTAGCCTGAAAGGCCCACTCTGTGCCCAAAAAATGAGGATAGAGTGGGGGTAAATCCATAACTGAAGGGCCACCTCTAATTTTCCTAATTTCCCTAAAATTTGGGTGATATTCAGATCTCATTAATTAAAGTCCTTGATTTCTTACCCTCTAAAATGTCGGGTAAACCGGAAAATGATGATTGGTAAAATCTTTTTTTGACTGTACCTTATTTGCCAATAATCATGATGAGCGAATCAGTCTGAGGGGAGGTGAAGAGGGGATGTGGACTTGGAGTGAACGGGATGGAGGAAGGGACAGGAGACAGGCCGCCGATGGCTATTTTAGTGGGTGGAAAATTATACGGCGGCTTCCACAGGCTCTAAAATGGGCAGCTCTCTCCGGTTACCAACTATTATAATCATTTCTTTGGGGGCCGGCAGTATACACACGCAGAAAAGCCAAATGCTGAAACAATTCTATCTCACTCGGTCACTCAACCGTGGGTGAGGATATCTTACCTCTTCGCCACTACACACCCTGACGTTTGTTAATGCCTTATTCCTCGCTCGATCAAACCAGTCAACATATTTACCTGCTCGTTAACGTGTCTTCAGGGAGAGAAGAGAAAACAATAGAGGGAACGATGAGTTAAAGGGCCCTCGAAAGGCCCTTTCTCCTGGACAATTGGTACTTACTCTGATTGATTTCATTATTATATTTTTATCTCATCGATTTTATTTTTCAGATTACCTCCAGATTGCTGCAATTTCGGGAGATTATTTCAGTTTAAGATATTGTGGGGTGACACCATCGATCATCAATTGAACAATTTTCCTGGGAATTTATTAGATCATCCCTGGAATCCAACGAGAACATATCCTCATGATATTCTCTGTCTGTCCTGGGCTCCTGTTAGCGCAGATGTGTGACAGGTGACATATGAGATATCTTACTTACACGTGTGTTTATTTTACAAGCTTGAATATGATCCTGCAGGGCTACGTCTGCGGATACATATAATTAATTCCTAAGTGAATGCCACTCGAGAATCACGAGGGATTGGTACTGTAAAAGAATTTTTTAAAATAATAATGTTCATTTAAAAAATAAAAATCGAGATTAAAAATGAAGATGAAAGAATTCCGAATGAATGGAAATGATTGAGAGGAAGGAAAAGCGTGAATATTATATTGCAAAATAATGATGCGTTAAATAATTGAAATAATAAGTTTATTGAATTATTAATATAAAATGGGAGACAGGAGGAGATAAATGTGAATTCAGTGAAGAGGTAAAAATAAAACAATTAACAATATTTATAATATTTAATTATATTTTTGCGTGGAATTGCAATGGGAGAGGAAAATCTCTAGAGATCTCTTGTTGCGGATTATTTTTTCATTCATTAAACGGGAGGAGAAAAAATTCTCGGGGTGAAACAAAAGGCGAAATGAGAGAAAGAGTGAGACAGCAATGAGGTAGGGTGGGTGTAGTGTGTAATTTTGCGCCAGCTTAGGAAAACACGTCGGCCACCCGCGTGCCACTTGCGAATGCATTTAAAAATAGAAGGTGCACACAGGCGTAGCGCAACGTCTGGGGGCTTTTCGAGAGAGAACTACAACCAAGAGAATGAGATAACTCCAGTGAAGATGAAGAGAGATATCGTGGAAACTTGGAGAATTGCCGATCGTCACTTCCATTATTCATTCGGGTGAGAGCAATCATTTATTATAATTCATCGATGAGTCTTTATTCCCGTGGATTTCTCTATCATTTTTTTTTTTTCTCCATCTCGTTTGAACGTACTTTTCTGGATATGGGTGGGGAATTGTGGAGAGGTGAACGCTCCAAAAGGAACCTAAACACCAGTATGAGACGACAAGACATGAATTGAGAAATTTTACATCAAGATATGAGGGAACACAAATTGAGCCGAACGAATTTTATCCAGTGAGTAATATTTCTTCATCCACTTGGTGAATTCCACGAGTCTTGAGTCTTGAGACAAAGTCAGAAATGCTCAGACGAATTTATTTTTTTTTTAATCAACTTTTTTACGCATAAATGGGAAAATTTTTTCAATACCAGTGAAATCATTCGAGTGAAAATTTTCAACCCGAGCTGATTCTCAAAGTTTTTTCAAGAGCTTGAAAATGAAATCAATTTCGTTGAAATCGCACCACCAGGTCCGAAGATACATAAAAAAAACGCACGTCCCTAACCCTGAAACTCAAATTTGGGCCTTATCCGCAAAAGGCCTCCCACCTCCACCCCCAGTCCGGATAAAATGCAATGATACACCTGACATTCGAACCATAATATACCATCAACCAGATCCATAATTTTTTTGTCATCCATCAATTGGAATAAGGCCCAACTCGTTGGTCTCCACTGTACTATAGCAATTATTCTTAATATGGTGAGGGTTGCTCTTAATAAGGAGCCAGAATTTTCGGCATATGCGCCTGGGACCGCTGAGACACAAGAGTTGGGCCCAAGTGAGTAGAAAGTAGAGGGGTGGGGCGTGAGGGGTGGCAGGGGGGGGACTCAGAATGAGGAGGGGAGGATCTTCGCCGATATAGGAGGTCAAAAATGCACTCAAAAAATTGCCGCCAATTTGAATTGCTAATGCAGTCACCGGCGGCGCGTTCGTGGGCCCTGTCTTGCTGCTGCTGTTACTCCCGTATGTGCATGGGACTGTTTGGGGCCCTCTTCTCCTCTGCAAAACTGCCACACTGACGACAAGCCAGCACTATCACTAACTCGGATGCCCCTCGTTGCATTGGGCCCCCTGTCCCCTCCCCGTCTTTGCTGCGTGTGTGCTCTGGTGCGTGCGCTTCAACTGGGCATACTGTTTGTTGTGGGGAGTCTTTTGGCGGGTTCTCCCCCTCAACCCCTCTGGTCCACCCGTGTCCCCCTTTTCACCCCCTCATCTGTACCCAACGCAAAACAATGGCACACAAGGAGCGGTAGCGGTATAGGCCCCGTGCGTTGTTTCGCCAAACTGAGGGGGCCCACTGTGACGAACACCACTCCATATAAAGTTTTGTAATTCCAAAGTTTATGTATTGAGTTTTTTTTGGGTTTTTGGGGATTTTCGGATGGCATTTTTCTCCGCATTTCTCACCTGCTTGTGGGAACAATACGTTGGGCCTTATTGTCCCGATGGTGGGGCTACTGCACGCACACACGTGTGCGATCTCTTTCGTCCTCAAATTATAAACAAATTTCGAAAAATCCCCGATTAATGTTTAATTCTGGAATTAAACATTAGAGAATTCAGGAATTCAGGGGAAAGTGGGAGGAGGGGCTGGGGCATTCCGGTGGGACTGATAGGAGGTGGAGGGGCGGATAGCGGTGCCCTTGGGCTGATAGGTAATTTCAAGTGTGGTATACTAATCGCTCGCGTATGCTGAACAGCTGCGGGCCCAACGGGCCCAACGTCATTACTCAATTTTTACCCCTCCACCCTGCGGGGTGGGGCGGGACATTCGCCTCGATAAAATCCACGCGCTGACCGGAAAATCTCTTTCAAACAATTCATTTCGTAATTTTTTTATTCTGTCAATCATAATCTTGAATTTCTGCACGTGCAAATTCGTCAGACAATCTCATAAAAATTCCCCTGAAATTCCACTGGAATAATTTCCGTGGAACGTAATCTTACGTCAAGTGGAAAATAATCGAATTAATAATCGATAAGTAATCGGTGAAAGAACTGTCCAATAAAATTAATATATTGTATAATTATGGGACAGGTTTATCAGAGAAATTATTTGAAATGACTTTCTGGTTTATTGATGCATTTGATGATGACATTGACCCGCCGATAAACATTGAGTCGTTAAATGAAAAATATTCATCGATTAAATCGTTGAAAATTTAACAGCGTGTAAAAGGGTCGTTTTCTCAAGTGCCTTGAGAATGTACTTACGGGTTATATGGCAATGATACGTTGGAGGCATTGGTCTTGGCGAGAGAATCCAATGAGAAAAAACGGAGCGCGACATACCGCTGAGAGACAACTCGGTGCCTCTATACAAGGGCTTACCGTTTTCTCGCGTGTCATTTCTTCCACTCTATCCGATTCCAATCTATCGTGTCTATGATCGGTTGAAAAATAAAAAAAAAAATATGGGTAAAAATTGGAGAAATTGTGGGGAAATTGCGGGACGCGCCGTTCGAAATTATCGTGGGATTATAATAAATAAAGGACCGATGAGAGTTGCTGGATGCTGGACGCTCGCTACAAAAGTCTCGAAGCCGACAAGTCGAGACGCTTCTTCCGCCAATGGTATTGAGCCTTAAAAGGACATTTGTCCTGTCTGCTATATTGGGTAACTGGAGTCAACTCGCGCGAGGCAAGAAAGGGATAAAGTATTGTAAAAATGAGGAGTAAAAAATTGAGGGAATTGCCGAAGTATTTATTTCGGGAGTTGAGGGGAGTCATTAGGTAGACGGTGCTTTATTATTTTTCAGATATATATCTCACCCCTAAAACATCTGATCATACTAAATGTTTCATCCAATAAATTATTCATTGATCCACCGATTTTTCCCTCGCTCGATGGTAAATCATTCATTAAAAAATATTTAATTTAATAAAAATCTGATGCGATGATTCGAAAATGAATAGCAATTACAATTATTTTATGAGACCGATTTTTTCTGAAGACAACCCACGGATTCCTCTCGCAGCACTAGATTTTACGCAAAATGTATAATCATCATGGCATAATACTACCAAAGAATAAAATCGTTATCGAGACAATCAGACTGTGGCGACGGTCGCACCCACGTTCATCCCGTCTCTCTCTCTTGTTTATTATAGTTTTTCTTTTTTAACCCGATGGAGGAAGAGGAAGGGAACAAAACACGCCCTTCTATTCCAGTTTCCATGCGGCTCTCTTGTTGTGGCTATTGTACACTATGATACGGCTGTAAGTAATTTTCCCACTGGCTTTGTATTTGTAGAAATGGTGCATGTACGTGACGAATACTTTGTGACAGAGTTTAAAGAGACGTGACCGTCTCCTGTCGGCGACGCCGATGGTTTTCGTTTACTGTCGCTCGTAAAGATCTTTGGCGCCGTTTACTCCCCCCATTTTTCCCAGGGGGTTATTTAACGGTTGACATGCCCTATCAGGGATGCACCCTTTCCACTCTGTCTACGATATCATTCAATCAATACTTCGCCGACTTAGTGGGAATTTCGATGCTCTTCATCGGGGGAATTTCAACTTTCGCGGAAAATCGGTACTGCCGGGCGGTATTGGTGATAAAGGGCCGATATCACCCGAATTAATTTTTTTATCAATTTTAATAAAAATTTTTTGGTGTTATCAATAAATTTATATGATCAACCATTATTATTACACTATAGTTAACTATTTTACAATGGCTTTAATACGATCATTGAGGTATGAAATTCGTTTCAATAATTTGTCGTGGGTGTGGAAATCCGTGTGTGAAATATCGAGAATTCTGTAGCCCATTGCTTCGAGCAATCGATTATGGAGTGAAACCGCGCCTAGGATATGTTTCTTCCCCACGCAGAAGTCGTGGTAATAATTCGCATTTATAGCTATCCTGTAATCAAAACCACAAATTACTAATTAATTCATAATTGACTGAAGTTTGGGCTCACCTCAAGGCTTTGGTATTTTCGGTGACTTTATCAACAGGCGATGTGATCAATTTTGTATCAATAAAAAAAACAACATCTGCAAGACAAATATCCATTAATAAAAATTCTAATGACAATGATGTAATGATTTATTTACCTATTAAAAAACCCGTCCTAACGTCCACATTAGTCCGGAAATGTTCTCTGGATGGGAAAAGGTTTGCCAGAGCGTCGGTGATGGCTTTGACAAATACTTCTTTGTCCTTGACTCTGGCAATGGGTGCCTCGAGAATTGGCGAGTCTTCCTTCAAAACTGGACCCGAGTAATTCTTCAATAAATATTTCGCCGCTGCATTAATGTTCAATAATTTATGCTTTTTTGCCGCTGAGGTATCTCGATCTGCAATAAAAACAATTAAAACACATCTAATGAGACTTCCCAGGAATTAATTATTTACGATTATTCCCAAAGAGCATTGAAGGAGTTAAAACTTCCGGTTGGTCCAGATGACAAAAAAAAAATTGAATTTATTTTGGGATTCTGGGCGATATGTAATTAGACGAGAGGAAATAATGTGTCATTCCCAATAATTTTAGAGGGAGAAAGGATATGTAGATATTGGAAGGGGAAAGGCTTTAAGACTGTAATTCGTGACAATATTAATCACTGAGTCAAATGCTCACCTGTGAGTGTAGCAATGAATTTTTCATTGAGTGTGCTCTCGACTTGCCTGTGACTCGCCCTATTCAGCACCACGAGAGACCAGACGACGTCAATCCATTCCGATCCCTTCGTCATGTCGGTGTCCTGGAGATTCGCGACGAGATCCTTGTAGAGGACGTCAAAGTTACCCGGACTGTACCCTATGACAGCGAGAGTCATGAGGAGAGCACAGAGATCCTGAGTCCTGAGGATTTTTTTGTGCTTAATACTCCAGTCGCAGAGGGTATCCATGAGGGCATCATCCCTGTACCTCATCATCCCCAAGGACGTCAGGATGGAGCCAATGATTGGACTCTGGGTGACCCCAGGTATTTTTTTTTTCAAGCCGTCACTGAGCTTCACCAGGAGCTCCTCCTCGATGAAATTGAGTCTCGCCATGCCGTAGAGGATGTCAGCGATGTTTTTTATACTCAAGGAGTTGGAGCTCTTGATGATGTTGTCGGCCAGACCCCGGAGGAGAGGTCTGGGTCGTCTCTGTCTGACAGCGAGGCCACAGAACATCTGGATTGTTTGGGATATGGAGAGTTTCTTCACGTCTGCCGACTCGTGGAGATCGTCCACGGATATCAGTGTACTCTGGGTTCGATTCTCTGCTTCCCCGGATTTTATGGCATTCACTACTCCTGATTTTTTTGCTACTATTCTGCAGAACCTCTGGTACCTCTCGTCTGCCTCAAGGGTTGTCAGGTCAATTTTACCTTTCTCCACTTCCTGGGATAGGACAGTTATCGTATAGACGGCTTGCTTGTAACTCACGAATTTATTATCAACTGTCGAGAGCAGCTCCTCCATGGTACTCTGGGACTTCTTCCTTGGTACCTCCAGTGGTGTTTTATTCATGTTCAGGTCGGCGAACGCCTTTTTTACTAACTGATTCTTCGAGAGTGTCTCTGGAGATTTTCCAGTTGATGGAGGCAGAGGATCATCCTGGGAGCAGATTATTTTACTCCAATCAATTTGAAATTTTTAAACAATATTCTAAACATGTTGTATGAATTAATAGGTCAAGAAAATTTTTTTTTTCAACTGCTAAACCCATAGAACCCTTTAATGAATTAAAAAATGATAAACTCACATTGGGCTGAGGGGCTGTCGCTGCTCCAGAGCATCCGGCGACCATTTGATGACTGGAAATGCACCAGGAAGTGGCACGTGGTGACAATCTCGATGGACCACTTCGCAGAGTTCCCACTAGCTTCAACATCGTCTATCAATCCAAGTTGGTGTTATTTATATAATCGTGAAGTACGTGACACCAATGCAGGGCGAGGGCAAATATTTATTTCCAAGTGACAATCGTCTCGGGATTTATTATTGCATCGTCGGGACCCTTGGGTCATTACTTACGTTGTCTGTGTTATGATTTGTGGTGTAGTACCAGGTATTTTTGATGATTTTTGGGGTTTCTGTCGGTGAACATTAGGAATACATGTTAAGGTTAGGTGGACACTCAAGTCAATCGTGAGCGAGGTATCAGTCCATGACTGCAAGGAACTTGTAGATGGGGCAACTGAAAAAATTGTAAACTCCCAGGGCTTTTACCGGTTGAGCTTAAGGCGAATTTCTCTGCAATATCTCAATAAAAAACTTATTCTCGTCACAAATATATAAAGATTAAAATTTTATTGGGACTGGGATAATTTATTTAACTTTGACATTAATGAATTTCCGAATGATTCTCGATACATCGGAGATATTGAATTCAAGAGACCGTAGGGTGTCTCGTAAATTTCATTTTCGGTGTTCGTGAAGGTGTCGTGTTGATTCCCGGTGATCTTGAAGCCTTCTGAAGACACATGAACGCAGAATTTCAGGTTCTCGAGGGTTGTGAGGTTCAGGTGGATTGAGCTATTGGTGCTTTGTAATTCTTCGGATATTCTGATGTCCTTCACATGGGCTTTCACGTCGTCGATGATGGCTTGAGCCTCGATCCTCCATTGATCGGCGTCCAGGACTCTCTCTTCGTTGTGCCACATCCTGAAGAAAAAAATCAACTTGAATTTTTATTGATGAGTTCCAGGGGTTCCAGGAGCTATTCCAAGATCCCGCGAATTATGATAAAATCTCTCAGTCGATAGCGCAGAAATTATTTCCTCAACATAACCTCCGAAAAATTTAATTTCACTGAAATCCCGGGGTAAACAATAACAAAGCACCTGATGGAGTCAATAGAGCATCTTCCACTGGAGCCAGACCATCCCTTCAAGATGGAGTCAGATCTTCCCCTGGAGATTCAGCCTCTGGAGGTGGAAGTCGAGACGGAAAAGGTCAAGTACAATTTTTCGAATTCCCTCAAGTACCGGTGGAAGGGAAAAGTCGTCAGCGAGAAATTCTATAACAGGAAGATGAAGCAAGCAGCTGCGAGGATCACCAGGAGAGCTGCCAAGGAGGCAGAGGCATCCTCAGACAACTCCAACGAGCAGCATGAGCCTGACAATGTCCAGGAGGTGGAGTTCCCTGTGAAAGGAGATAGAATCGTTGACCTGGAGTTCATGGCCAAGAGGATGATCTGTATAGAGTGCCAGGGGCATCTCCTCCTGGACAACATCCGAAAGGAAATCAAGAGGCGGTGCAGGTCGATCCTTCATATCGAATGCGAGGAGTGCAAAATTATCAACAAAGTTCCAACGAAGGTATCGACCCAAGATTATTTTTAATATCACTAGCCACTTCTTTTATTTGGATTTTACTAAAATTTTTTACTGTTTTCAGGGAAATTGTAATGTCAATATTTGAGAGTAAAAACCTTGGAGATGGAAAACTGTAAATATTACATTTAAAAAATTCCACTTCACTCCAGACGAACTCGACATCACGATAAATTTTATAGGATAAGAAATAATTATCATCGAATCGAGATGACCTGATTACTTGTGAATAAATACTCTTGTACAAATATTGAGCAGAATTTGTTATTTTTTCCTGTAGAAATTGAAATTTACAATTAATGCACTTGGCACATCCTGGGGAGGAATTTCGTACAATTCAAGTCGATATAAAATCATAAATTACCATCAATGGCATTCCTGAATTTGGAATACCCGAGATTGATCAAAATATATAATTTCCTCATAAAACGTACATAATGTGCACTGACCTCACCCCTTTGACTCGTCTCTCATTGCAAGTACCGATTCTCAATGGAATGCCCAAGAATTTCCAATTCAAACATTCACTTTTCCCCTCGATTCTCCTTTGGATCGCGAGGAATCATCGACTTTTTTTCTCGAACCGCCCGGTGTTTTGTTGACACGAGTCTGCAGTATCGACAGGGTTGTCAGCTGATGACAGGCGAAAAGGCGACGTGGCTGGCATTAGGGTGGAAATATGGTCGACCAAATCAACTGGCTCATCTCTCGAAATCGTAATTATCGTAATGTCGAGGCGTAAATAATTTCAATAATTCCAAAAGAAGAATTTTGTCAATTTCGAAAGACTAAGACTGCGCGAAAATGGGACTGTGCAAGTGCCCAAAACGAAAAGTGACGAATCAGTTCTGTTTTGAGCACAGGGTTAATGTTTGCGAGCATTGTATGGTGACAAATCACCCAAAGGTATGCACTGATAAAAATGAATAGTCTTCAACAAATTTTCCGATTATTAATTATCTGTATAATTTTTTAAACAATAAATTCTGAATTTTTAGAGCAAAGAATCAGTTTAAGGGAATAATTCACGGATTTTTGTATTTTTTTTTTGTATTTTCAGTGTGTCGTCCAGTCGTATCTCCAGTGGCTCCAGGACAGCGACTGCAATCCTATCTGCACCCTCTGCAACGAGGCCCTGAAGAATGCAGATTGCGTGAGATTGACGTGTTACCATGTGTTTCACTGGTCGTGTCTGGACTCGTACGCGAGGAATTTACCAGCCACAACTGCACCAGCAGGTTACACCTGCCCCACGTGTCAATCCGGGATATTTCCAGAGGCTAATTTAGTTTCCCCAGTGGCTGATGTCCTGAAGCAGAAACTGGCGAGCGTCAATTGGGCGAGAGCTGGCCTCGGTTTACCCCTGGTGAGTTAAAAATTCCCACGATTAAAAGGTGATATTTTTATCATGAATTAATATTTCCAGTTGAGCATCGACCGGGAGCAGAAGCCGCCGCAGGAGTCGAAGCCCACGATAGAGACATCAGTCTACCAGAACCACTCGATATCCCCCACGTCATCCCCATCGACCGCCACAGCTCGAACAAGTGGGAACGTCAATTCCAGTTCTCACTTGAACAATGTTCACGCTGTTGTCCAGAAACAGGGGCCCCCATACTCAGTGGTGAATATCGAGACATCGGGACAGATGGACCGAAAGGTTTTTGAGGCGTACGACGACCCGAAGGACATGTCCTACGATCACGATGAGAACAAGTACCAGAGAAAATCCGCGATCGAGTGGTTCCTCAGGTGGTGGAAACTCATCATGAGACCTCCAGCTCGCAGGAGAAGTTCCTCCGGTGGTCTCTACAAGAGATACGCTATCATCGGCGTTTTTGGACTTTTATCCTTCATTATGATTATTATTCTCTTCTCCTGGCTCGGGAGAATGGCCACCGATGGAGATCCTGCGTACAATCTCATGGCTAATCCCCACATCAACGTCGCAGAAGAAACTATTTAGTCATTTTTCAACAGGAGCTCTTGGGGTGTGTTTCTGCTCAACGGAATTGATTTCTCCTTTTTTTTATTCAACCACCAATTAATTATCTGGGCAATGAGAGATTGCAGAGAAAAATGCTATTAACCGTTTTTTGTTTTATTTTATTTTAATTTGAATTTAAAATTTTATTTTCCTTTTTTTTTTGTCTAGATGTGCTCTTCAATTATCAGAATTAATTCAAGAACCGTGGGAACACACCCTCAATTAATCTCCAGTGCATTTGTTCACTTTTTATCGATAATATTATTAAGACTAGGATTAAGATGTATATTTTGTTGTAACGTAAGTGTAATTGAAAAATTTGTATAGTACATTCGATACTGATTATTCCATAATATTTTATTTATCCTTGAGAAGTCCAGGGCTTAATCATTAGTCCGAGAATACCTGTTTCCGCATGTATGACACGTCTGGTTGTGCGAAATCCGAGTGCCGCTGCTGAAAACGTAGATCGAATTCGATGCGTCTCGTAAAATCCCTCGAATCTTTTCCGCGCGTCAGAAATATATTCTCTCAGGAACACGTGCCTGCTGACACTGCCCATAATCTCTTACATTTGTGCTCAACCCCGTGGTGAAACAGGAGAAAAAAAAAAGCAAGAATTCCCTAGTGAATTTAAATATCTCGAGATCCCATGAAAAATCTCGGTTTTTCATTTGAAATTCAAATGAGAAAATCGACTGGTAGTTTGCATATTTCATGTTTATCTGGGAGGGACCTTGAAGGGGTCAGTTTCAAATTTTTTTTCGGTCTTCGAGCATGAATAGTTCGACGATAATAATTGCGGAGAGACCGAACAAGTGTCTGCATTTTCTAACGATTTTTCATTTTTAATTTCCATAAGTTTTTCATAAATGAAGGGAAAAAGATCGGTACGTCGTTAATTAGGGGAGTGATTTATCGTTTTAGATTTTTAACTTTTCACTGAGTGGAAATTTTTAAACGAGTGATGAGGGTGTTGATAAAAATCTTCACATCCAGAATCTAAACCTGAGGAGGAACCAATACGATTTTTGAGGGCTTGGTAATTATGAAAGCAGGTAGGAAGGGAAAATACGAGATAAAAGAGGGGATGGGAAACAGGAATGATGGAGGTGGGAGAGAAATTTAAGAAGTGACCAGGAACTCGAATGAAGCACTGGCCCGACTGCCAAGCAGCTGAGACCACTGCAGAATTTCCTCGCAGTTTCAATATTAAATATTATAAAAATGAAGAATATATTGAAGAAGAGTTTGTCCGTCAGTTTCTTCTCTTCCGTCGCGTGTCTCTGGAACTTCGGAGGCATTTCTTTGCCGGCGACTGCTCTGCTGCTATCCTCCGGTGAGTCAATAAATAAAATCTCCAGTCTCGCTGTTTCTATAAAAAAATTTTTCATTCATATTGCACGTTTTTCTCAAGTGACAGTTCCAATTTGGAAAAGAGAGAAATTGAGAGGAACAAATAACGGACTGATCAGTGAATTTTTCTGTCCACAGGAGCCGCGGGTTTTTATTTCAACCGAAGATCCTTCCGGAGGATAACAAAAAGGGATACGATAGTTTTAACCGGTTGTGACTCGGGTCTCGGCTACAATCTCGCCCTCCACTGCCATAAAAATCTCTCAGCCCGAGTGATTGCTGGGGTCCACAGGAAAAACAGTTTAGGAGCTCAAGAACTCGTAAAAACCGGCATCACAATCCAGGAGATTGATATTACCGATTCAAACAGTGTCGCGCACTTTGTCGAGAAGGTCCAGGAGTACCTGAAGCGAGACAATTTATGTGAGTGCACGATTTCCTTTTACTCTAACTTCCATCATCCGTAATAAATGTTTAATCCCACTAATGGTTAATTCTACGAAAAAAATCGATATAACATTTTTCCTTGGAAATTTCTCGAGGATAAAAAAAGTCTTATCAAGTTTTTCTCTGGGAGGCTTTGATCTCGAGATAATCACCGATCTTCATCCGATTTTTTTTCAGGCCTGAGAACTTTCGTGAATAACGCTGGGGCGATGGTTTTCGGTGAATTCGAGTGGCAGACGGATTCACAGATTCGTCAACAGGTCGAGGTGAATCTCCTGGGGACGATGCAAGTGACTAAAGCGATGATTCCTCTTCTTCGAAAGCACATGAGTCGATTGGCAATCGTTACGAGCCATTGTGCGTGCGAACCTCTGCCTGGAGTTGCAGTTTATGCAGCAACGAAAGCTGGTCTTGCTGCATGGGCAACTGCTCTCAGGATCGAGCTGAAGAAATTCGGGGTTGAAGTCGTGAGTTTCATACCCGGATCTTTCGTCATGGAGAGCAATATTCTTCTGCGACAGGTCACGCATTTCGAGGAGATGGAGAAGGAAATGAAGGACGAGGTGAAATCGGTCTATGGAGAGTATTTCGGTGAGTACAGGAATTACCTGAGACCGTTGTCACAGCAGAATTCACTCAAACGAATCGAGAATCAGAGGCTCTTCGAAATATTTGAGGAAGTCATCACCGAGCAGCCACCGAGAGTCACTTACAAGTAATTTTTTTTTTGCAGAATAATTGCCGATTTTTTTTATAAGATTTTGGGAATTATTAATTATTTCTCTTTCAGGTGTGAACCCTGGAGGTACACGTATTATCACACTCTCCTGAAGATCGTCCCCACGAGACTTCACGACATTCTCGTCGAAAAATTTGTGCAAATGCCGATTTGGAAGCCGAAGGTCAAGTAAACGTGAGGAAGACCTGAAGAATTATGTAAGGAAATTACTGCGGAGTAATTTCAATATTTTTATAATGTGTCTTGAATAAAATTACTGATATAATTCAATATAGAGTATTGATTATTTTTTATTTGTCACCAAAATATTTGTGAATGCTTGGAAAACTAGATTGACTTTATTTCAGTCTAAGAATTCCAACAATTATCGAGACTAATGAAGATTAAATCTCCAATCTCTTGATAATTTCGATGACTCGATGCTTCAGGACGCAGGTGTTCACGATTTCGTAACTTATCGACCCCCGGAGTACGCGATTAGATACCCTGAAGATATATATTGAGAAATTTCATTGAGACGAGGGCGAAGTAAAATTGATAAATTGTAGAAATGCTGGGACTGAGAGGTACGTAACTGTAGGATTTACAATTAACGAATAACAAGTGGCATTAATTTTCAGAGTATATCTCTGAATCTAAAGGAGACAGCGAATTTTCCATAGAAATCTTTTTCATAGCTCTAAATGAGTTCTACAAAAAAGGTCCTGTGGAAAATTCAGCTCGTCCCCTAGGTTCGCAGATACAGAACGAAAAAAGTGACTTGTCACCTGTCGGTTGACCAATTTCATTATCGATTTGTCTGAGGGGAGGATGTGGTTTTGTGATTGTTCAGTGTTGATTATCGCGGCTTTCTGCGTGGTTGGATCCCTCCAGGATACACCCTTTACAAAATGCAAAGCTGGTGGGCCGGCACCGGAAGCTCTGAGGGTGAAGGGATGCAACACGACACCCTGCAGATTCGTGAAGGGAAAGGACGTCGAGGCAGAGTGGGACTTCAACGTAGGTGAGTCGTGAAAAAAATATTTAAAAAACCAAATTGATAATAAAAAAAAAGTGGAGAAAGTTAAATTTCCCAAGTCCCAGAGGGAAGTTTTCGGTTGTAGTTTGGAAACTCCGATTTCAATTACCATCGGTGCAGCTCTCCCTCAAGCAATGGAAAATTTCTCATTCGCAGTTGCTGACGCCGAGGCCCTGAAGCCCGTGGTCAAAGCCAAAGCCCTGGGGATAACCGTCGACTACCCCCTGCCAGAGCAGGACGCCTGCAAATCCCTGGTCAATGGGGAGTGTCCCCTGGAAAAAGGTGAACTAGTGTCCTACGGCCTCAGGATGCCAATTCTCAAGGCCTACCCCAAGGTCGACCTTCATCTGACATTCTTCCTGGTCGATCCCCAGAAAAATGTCCACGTCTGCTTCGAGATCGACGCCAAAGTCGTCGACAATTAATACTTATGAAGAATAATTAACATAATTTATAATGAGATATGAAATATTTTTTTTAATGAAAGAGATTCTCGAGTGGAAAACCCTGGAATAGATTTATCCACCGGAGGGTTGTGCCTATGGAATAGGGAATACTTCGAGAGGAAATTGTCACCCTTGTTATGTTGAAAATGTCCATTGAACAATTTATGAGTGATCCCGACTCATCCAGAAGCCATTTCCTGTGGGCATTGCGTGGAAGACTGCTCTCGCATCGATCTTGTCATCATCCTCCATCGGGTCCTGGGGATTCTGCCCTGGATTATGAGGAGTGATAAAACCCGGGAATTATTTTTCCTTAGAATCCGATTTTCTTTTTTCATTCCAGATTTTTTTCGGCTTGGGGGAGCAATTGATCGAGAACGGGAGAAAGCAGAGGTAATTGGAATTATCCCTCGTCGACGTTTTTAGATTGAAATTTCGGTTTATTTTTTTTTAGAATTAATCAGTTTGAATTATTCATTTCATTGGGGAATATTTTATAGTCAACGGGCAAGGGTTGCTTTAACGAAATCTCAGTCATGAATGACGGTTTGTTCGTAATACAAGGGATGATGGGGAATATGTGGAAATAGGGGAGAATCCCCAGGGGTGGAATGAGGTGGAAGGGGAGGACATGACCCACATCCCTGTGAATCGATCGGGACGCTTCGTCCTCACTTTTCCTATATACAGTGGTTTTACTGGAGAAGAAAGCCAGAACCAACCGTCGACTCCAACTATTATTCTATTATTATTTTCAATTTTTCTGTTATTGATCTTTATTTATCCTGAAAACAATGACAGCTGGAAAAATATATATAGGAGCTTTTTCGTAGCGAATTTCAAGAGCTGAAAAAAGTCTGTGATTCAAAATTTTGATAACTCGATTGGTTTTCGAGATATGGGGGAAAAGGTGGAAAAACCAGTGAAGTGGATGCTGGATGATTCATTAGTCAAACCAGAAGCAGTTGATGAGCATTAGCACCTGTAAAAATCACGTGAAATCCGGGGGATGAATTTAGTTCTGGAGAAAATCTCGGGAATTTACTCTATAATGCACTAACGAGGAAACTTTGCAAAAACTCCCACTACCTGTTCCGGTATTGTGCAAGCTGACGCCATAATTTTCTCCGCTCACTGCATAAATCTATTTATAAATAAAATGAGTATTCATCCGGTGCCAAATTATGAGGATAGCGTCGGTTTCTGTTGCCCATCATCTTCGGCTGGATTTTTCGCACATTCTATTATATAATCTGCATAAAAGACACAAAGAAAAATTTTTAAATAGAATTTCAATGGAATCTACTGGAAAATAAATATTTCTTGCACTATGTTTTTTATTAATTTTTTTACCCATGGAATCAGGAGGTGGAAAATATCTGGGTTATCTTCGACATTTAACAATGTCAAGGATTTATTGCTTATGAGAATATCGATGATTATCTGCTGGACTCTCTGGCCTTGATCGATCTCGGAGTTGAATTTGCGATTTGATCGTAATTCATTTATTCTTCTAGAACAAATTCCTGATAAGGACGAGAGAAAATATTATTGAATTCTCGAGACGTCCCTTTGTCGAGTCACAATCCTGGAATTTCACGATGAACCGCACCCGTGCGTTAAATTTTATTATTGCATGATCATTGCACATACCAACTGTTAAATAATTCCTCTTACAATTCCATTAACAAGCATTACATAATTTTTTTATTCAACAATTATATTCTTTCCGAAACTCGCGACAGATCTTTGAAACACAGATGATCATAACAATTATCATAAATCATTATAAAAATTATTATAAATCAATTGTTGAATTGTCATGAATATTAAGATATCAGTAAGCGTTATAACAAAATACCTTGACTTTTTGAATATTCCAAAAATTCCGCATTCCTGTCTTTCGACGGCGATAAATAGCCCCCTCCTAATGGCCCCTAATGACAGTAATGAGTATCATTAGAAATCGATTTGCGAGTATTTTTTTCGGTTGAAAAAATTGAAAAGAAAAACGAAAAAAATGGAAGAAAAACAGAATCGACCAGATCGCGGTCCCCCTCCCGCCGAATATATTTCGGTGGGGGATGAAATGGTAACGGAAGGGATGAAGTGGGGAAGGGGAACGGTCGAGTGTGAGGACAAGGAGAGGGGAGTGCGGAGAAGGAGAAGGGCCAATGGTGAAGAGCAAGTGAAGGCGAGGGACGACTGGCGGGAGAACACCACGAATATTCCCGAAGTCGGACAGAGACAGCTAGACATCGGCAGCCGACACTCGACCATTACGTACCTCAATCGTGACGTCACGTTTCATTCCTCGGCCGTGTGTCAGATCTAGCGTGCGTCGTGAAGTGCCTCCACTTCCTCGTCCCTTGAAATAAACGATAAAACGTTGAAACATCAGTGTGACAGTTCAAATGACAACGGAGTGCTGACAAATTGTTAATTCGTGGTGAATGTGAATTGTTTTATCAGTGCAATTGAATCGTTTTCTTTTTTTCAATCGGTGAGAGGTGATTGCACGGGCGTACACACAGGTAGCCACGGCCGGCGGCCATTATTGTTGTCAATATGGCGGGCAAAGGAGGACTAGCCACTGATGTGAGTACTATTTTTTAATGATAATCATTTTTAAAGACATTTCTCATCGGAAATCATCGAGGATTGCGTTGCGTTCACCTGGGGAGAGAGGCTTGGGGGGTGGACACCGGAAGTTCCGGTGCTTCCGGGGACCGTTTTGTTTGTGCTCATTTTTTTTCTTTTAGTTTCGTTTTTTTTTTGGAGAGATTGTTTGGATTGTTTGGATTTACAGGTGTAGCCACCGCCCATGGCATTTTTATCAACTTTTTATGGGGTATTGTGTAAGCGATTGGACTTGGTATTTGAATACGTGCAATCAGGATTAGTCAGGGAATTAATTGATGAGTAAGGGGACATTAACCACGCCCAAATGCTCGGTGAGAGTTGTTTTTGTTTTAAGGAATTACTCCGGGGGTAATTAGGGTTTTTGGGGAAAGTTGGGAAAATTGAGTGAAGAAGGGTGATAATTTTTTGGATTATTGCTTGTTTGGATTTATTATTCGGTGATCCGTTGATCGATTATTCATGAGGGATTGGTGCAAAGCTGATCATTCTACGGCTTTGGATAATTAATGGTAATGAGGGATGTGCCAGGGGAATTAATTCCGCACCGGATGAATCAGGCCGATTGAATATATGCCATTTGAGGATCATTTTTTTTTTAATATCTGGGAATCTGAGGGAAATAGCTCAATTACCCTGGGGACTTTTTCCTCGGGCATAATAAGAGCTAGGAAAAACGTCCTTACAAGGATTTGATATCTTTATCAGAATCGGGGATATTTGAGAAATTCTAATCTAACTTTTTATGAAAAAAAAATGAGCAATCGGAATTTTGTTCCCAGTTTTTTGGGAATATCTCGGTAAGGGTGGGGGATGGCAAAATTTGTGATTAGAACTTTTTCGGGGATATTGGAATTTCCTACAAAAAATTTCCTTACAACATTCTGCTATCTCTCTCGGTTTTGGAGATGTCCCATGAAAACTTGGAAAGAGAAATTACCGAAGTCCTCGAACTCTCGTGGAATTCTCTGGAGAAATTATTTCCACTTCTGATCGATCCCCTGATCACCTCTGGGTGATCAGGTTTTCAGCTTTTGTCTGGTGCCCTTGAAAGAGAAATCGATGCTCCCCTTTTATTATTCCTATTTTCGAAATAAAAGTCGTGACGTACCATCGAGACCTTCCAAATTTAACGCGTGTGACGAAACTTTTCCATCGCCATAGGTCTATCTGTTGACTTTCAGTCATGATAATTTAGAGGTAGCCGAGGCTATGGGGATTAATTTACAACTTCCTAGAGATACCACTTCTTCAAAAGATCAATATTGACAGACATCCGTTGAATTTTCAATTTCAATTTCCAATTCTCATTATAAATCGCTCACACGAGTGACTTTAGAGGAAAATACTAGATAAACTTTTCGTAGCTTACGAAATCTCCCAACTAAAAGATCTTTTCCCATTATTCTCTAAACCCACTTGTTCTCGAAATAATTGAATATTTAAGCGGAAAAAATGGGGTAGTCAAATCGAAAAAATTGAAGAGGAAGTGTCGGTACATTTTAGTTTCGCCGGAAGATCATGAGATGGCGCCAGTGGCCTTGAAAAATAGTAAAGGACAAATTCAAAGAGTGGTCTGAAAATTTTCGCAACCAGTTCGTTGGTACTCACCTTCGACGCTAATTTGAGCGATACAGTTGTCACTGATTATCACTAAATTAGCCATTATGTCGTTATTTTAACGAGTCAATGTGTGTCAGAGGGGGGGCCTAAGTATCATTGACGCATTCCTCAGTGGGATTTTTCCAACAATAAACAGGTCAATAAAATCACTTCCATTGTATTCCCACTGTTTTTATTTATCGTAATTTGTCATTTCAACGCGGTCATTGAGGAATTTTTTTTCTCCCGGATGTCATGACGATCTTCCTCTTGAAGAATATCCAGGGATGAATAGACGAGGGAGATCATACCAGATAAGTGGAGAGAACATAAAGAAAAACCGCTTTGAACTGACTGTCGAAAGTCACACCAATTTGTACCTCAAGTACGTGGGCGTAGGATGTTGGTTTTTAGATAATTTACAATGGCGAATTTTTTTTATTACCCGCATTTGGGATTTCTTACGACCCCACGAATTAATATCACTCAAAAAGTTCACGTAAGATCGAAAGATCAATCTTCCTGACGTTATAAATTCATTTCGCCACGTGAAAGATAAATCCAACTTACAATTCACCTTCTCCTTATCGATTTATCTCGAAAGATATCAATTTCAGAGAGAAGCATAAAGAGGCTTTTTTGGGGTCGATAAAATTTCCGTCGAAAAAGATCTCTTGATATTTCCGCCTAAAATCGTCAGCTTTCGAGATAAATAAAAAAAAAGAATGTGACATTTCGGTTACCCTGATATCACTTCAATACTGGATAGATATTATTGATAACGACACGTTTTCATTCCGTTAATTTTTATTGGAGCACCTGATAAGGCATAAAAAATTATTTCAATCCATCCTATCACTGATGACCTTCAGGAGAATTCCAAAAATAAAGGGTCAAGCGAGAAAGATCGGTTGAAAAAAAAAAACCAATTAAACCACGACATTTCTCTTTCTGTTTCTCTTGTCAATTGGTAAATACTGTGAAATAGCGTTACGTGGAAAAAGTGACAGATTAATTTCCTCAGACTCCCGGAGGGAAGTTTCCGGTTGTAGTTTCCAAGCTCCACCGATTTCAATTACCGTCGATCTCGCTTTTCTCCAGTCCCTCGGGCAAGGGCTCATTAAGTACCCCCTGGAAATTGCCAGTGCGGCCGGGAAAACCTCTCAATACACCTTTTATTTCCAAGAAATAAAAGCACAATTCAAATGGAAATGATGACCATTATCCGGATAATTATTCTAATGACATTTGCGAGGGATAGAATTGATGCGAGTATTCATTACTGGGTAGTTATTGCGGGTAAACAAGCGGCGTAAAACATCAATGCGAGAGGGACTCCTGATCGTTTCGAGACCAATTACAAGGAATTATGCAAGTCTGATGATTTTTTCAAATACATTCAATATTGACATAACAATATATTAATATATCGATATATCAATGCGAATATATCGATATACGATAAAAAATCGAGAAAAAATCGGTTGTGATGATGAATTCAGGAAAATCATGATAATCACTGAATGAAATCTTGAAAATTAGGAACCGAATATGACCCCCAGGTAAATCGAAAGGGCACAGGGGTTAAACCAAAGTGCATGAAGTACTTGAAGAGGGGGTAAAGTGCTCCAGGTGGCAAAGAGTGGGGAAATGAGAGGGGATAAAGCCCCGCAGTGCGGCGCGATCGATAGAATTCCTCAGTCAACTCCATCCCTCTCGTTTTATGTCTCAGTAAACCCCTCTCAACCCCCTCCACCCACTCTCATCCCCTCGTGGATGATTTCAAATCACCAGAGGTACACACCGTCATTGACGGAATTTACCGATATCATTTCATCCCCTTAACTACTCGTCTGTAATTGCGCAATCGAATTAATCGTTATTTTATTTAATGATCCCGGGATTTGGGGGATGGAGTCGGTTGGAGGACAGGTCAGTGGGGGAAGGGTTGAAGAATTATTCATGAATAATTATATTTGGAAAGAATTATTTTTTTTGGAGGGAATTTTGGGATTGGTTTGAAGTTCACTGGGTCAGTGGAATTTTTTCGCGGTTAATGAGAATTAATGGGGCGAGGGGGTGAGGGGGTGAGGGTGGTGGAATTTTTGGGGAAAAGGCAAGGGACTTTTTTTTTCTTTTTTAATTAACCGTGGAGCGGGAAATAGAGATATTTCCGCGTGACTCACTTGTCCCAATGATCAATTAACGCACGGTTTATTACCCACGTTTCACAAGCGTGTAACGCGCATTCTCGTCCGGAGAATAAAATGCCGGACGGCAACCCCGAAAGTTGTACAGACTAGCCTCGGCTCAACGTTAGATTGACCGTAATGTGTCTCTTCCTCCGACGCAGATACAGTCACGGTCACCGAATTTATGTTCAATAAACATTAGGAATTCTATCATTAAGGAAATTATCTCATCCTTACGGTGTTATGTCACCAATAAAATTCATCATCTTCAAGGACCTCCATCATTTTTCTTACCGAAAATATTTTTTTTTTCGGAAATTGATGAAAATATTTTTTTTTGAAAATCAATGAAAATTAATTTTTTTGAAAATTCTCGGGAAAACTTGTTAGTTCTGAGTAGCGGAGCTCTCTGTCAGTCCAAAAAAATATTGAATTCAATTGAGAGATGAAAATATATTTTTTTTCAAAAATTGATGAAAATGATTTTTTTTTGAAAATCGATAAAAATTAATTTTTCTTCAAAATCGATGAAAATGAATTTTTTTAAAAATTCTCGGGAAAACTTGTGAGTTCTAAGTAACGGGCCTCTGTATCAGTCCAAAAAAATATTGAATTCAATTAAGACATGAAAAATTAAGCTGTCACTAAAGTTTTCTCTGACCGGTTTAAAAAAAAATTGACTGGGAATTTCGTAACGATTTCAACATTTTCCCAGCAATCGAATTGTTTACAATTTCACCACCCCATAGTAGATAAATAAATTCAAAGAGGGAAAGAACTTGGGGACTTTGATCGGCAAGTACTCGATAAAACCGGCAGTGGTATCCAGTTTCCAGTGTCGATATCGTCCAAGTGAAATTGGTCCGGCATAATCCGGCATTATCCACTTCCGACGACGTCAAGAGTTACGAATAGTAAATACCTAGTAAATACCGATCGATTTTCTTCTATGACTCAAAAAAAAAATGGATGCCAATTTTTTTTTTTTTATCGTCTCAGACGGCTAGACGCCAGGGCATTTTCCAGTTCAATCTGGTGCACCTAGACATGAATGAAACGTTCGAACCGGATGAATCTGGTGAAATACGAGTACAGGGTGTGATTCATGACTCGTCTCTTGACTGCCACTCAGCATTTTTTTTTACCTTCGATTATTTCTTCATTACGGATGACAGTTGTTTTTATTTATGATTTCTTATCACTTCATTCAGTCAATCTCGGTTTCAACCGTGAGATAAATTTCCCGAGGGTTAAAAACATTTTTGTTATTGCTCATCATATTTTTTTCAATATATTTTCGGCAAAAAAAATAATTTCTCATCATATTAATATATCAATACACGATATACTGATATATTAATATCAAAACATGGATATATTGGGTAAAAAAAATCAGCATGTTAAATATTCAATTGAATATTAATATTTCTTTTAATACAGCAGTAATTATAATTGATATATAATTGATATAAAAAATATTATCACGAAATATCGAGTCTGAATTTTCGTTTAAAAGATCTGACGAATGATGAAAAAAAAATGGGAGTGGAGCCAAATAATGTCATCCACTGACCATTACCCTAGTATAGGGGATATAGTGGATACAATAGACTTGCCAATAAATATATTCTCGTCTCATTGGTCTTTGTCCGAGATATTTATGACAGATATCGCCAGACATTGTGGCAAACTAACGACTATCATGATCCCTATAAAATAGAGTGAATTGAGAGCTTTTCGAGAGTGACGCCAATTTTTATTTACTCGTTAAACAGACATGCGATGAGCATCACGATATCTCAAATCCGTCATTGAGGATAATTGGAATGAAAACATAAGAATCACTCGAGGGACTCATTTATTTTTCCATTATTTTTAGCATTTTGTTTTCTCAATTTATCTCTGATTAAACTAGCTTATCACCCCATTCCATTCTGCCACATTACCTCATGATATATCACTATATTCGATATATTAAATATATCCTCAAAATATGACAATATAAAATAAAACGCATTACTACATCAACACGAATGACATATTAATGCACTATATCATGATATAATTGATGATATATTTTGATATATTTGCGGATGGTTGAATTTCAAGTCCACAAACTGCATTGGATTTGTGTCAGACAGTTAGAGATGCGCGTGGAAGGGTCGCGGAGCTCGTAAAAAGGGACAAAGGCTGAAGTTGGGGTAGTAGGAGGGACAGGGGCAGTTAGATAAAGCGAAATGATAGAATGAGAGGGGAGAATGAAGGAGAATGCACTGGGATGAGAATGTGTCGGGGAACCCTGGGCCAATACGATGCGCGTGAGATTGGCGCAGGGCCGTTACGCCAGGGCAACATTGCGTAACGCTTGTGGCACCCATCGGCGCATCCCGGAAATTTTTCGCCCAGTACAATCTCATGGGAAATTATAATCGACCATAATTTTAATTATTGACATTATATTCAATTATATTCAATATCGTATATATTTTATATATATCAATATATCGTGTTATATTGATATATAATATACGATATATCAATATGTGGCTTGTACTACGATTGCGATATTTAATATTGATATCAATATCGTCGCGATGTATATTCGGTTATCAAAAAATATATTTTTGATATATCGATATATTTGGTATATTTTAATTTATTTTTAAATAAAAAATTCCGTTCTGATCCGTAAATAATACATGTGCACTGGGACAGAATAAAAAATCATGGCCTGACTCTATTCACGGGAAATACTATCACGCCAATGATCGAAATACCTCGGAACACGGAACCCCCCTGAATATGAAAATTCTTTGCGGCTTGAATGAAGAAATGTAATTTGATTAGAGAGGCGAGAGAAATATAGTGTAATGGGAGTGGGAAGTAGAAGGCATGTTCGTTTAGTTATTCCATGACTCTCTCGGGTGTACGGAAAGACCCGACTATTCAACCTGAAGGGCTTTGGCTTTATGACCCCGATTACGATATGAGGGTGACAAATGTCTGGAGGAAAAATTTTCAGGGGTAAATTGGGGCAATCCTTCCACCATTTGTATTCCAGACTTATCGGGGAAAAATAATCCAAGGGGGAGTGCAATATAATTGTATATTAATACCAGATATTTAATGAATATTGATTACTGATTACTAATATGCGGATTATTTCATGTTATTCTCGCGATATCAGGAGTTTTAAAAATTTTTTTGATAATGCACCATCCCTCTGGGAAAATTCGGTCATGAAAATTGTGAGCATCAGCTGAATTGAAAATTCACTGCATTCTTTATGCATCGTATCGTCATAACCAGATGCGCCCGAGTAGAGTGGCTCAGATTTGTGTCGATAAAATGAGATAGCGAGGTAGTTGCCGGCTGAATAGCCCAGTGGCACATATCGGGTCGAGCATCATCTCCATACATATTCTCAACAAAATCATCCCATCCACTGAAAATAAAAATATTCTATATTCCATCTCCAATATTGAAGTTATCTCAAAATATTTACTCCATCCAAAAATTAAATGAATATTAAATCAACAATAATATTAATATAACTAAAATGAATACTTGATATATTCAAAATATATCCATTTATCAATATCAACACATTGATATATTAACATCAAATATTGACTCTCCGAATTTGTGAGGAGTAAATATTAAAGATATGGATATACAAAAATGGGAAGAAAAAAAATTCTTTTTTGAATCCGAAAAATACAACTTTTCGTCCGAGGGTGCGGCGCGATCAAACCGTCATGTTGTCGAGTTCGTGTTTAAAAAAGGTGGGGATTCGCGGAAGGGAGGAATGGGGCCGGGAGGGGGTGTGGATCGGTAGAGGTGGGGTAAGGGCGGGTGTAAGGTGAGGATTACGCGCGCGCATACCCAAGCCGGCCGGGATTGGCCGCAGGGGGGGTGCACATAGAGGGGGCGCACATACCGCCGGGGGGGGTCGAGGGGGTGAGAGAGGGGGCAGAAAATGTTGGAGACGGGTCGATGATGCCGGCGCGGATCCGAGGGAGGCCGACGCGCTTCCTACCGTTCAGTCAGTCTCTGGTACCCCTCCGAAGCCGCGACGTTAAACGCTTCTTTCACATCGAAATAAAAAATTATTCTGTTATAATCGCCGTACGCCGCAGCCATGGGTGACGACAAGGTTTGTGAAAGAAAAACGGGGAGAATATATAAAAAATGTTATTCTACTTTTGATTTATTTTCTATTCAACATTTGGGCGAGTGTTGAGGTTAATTTGTTGCCAGGGGCGTTTTTTCTGTTGGATTTTCATTTTAGAAATTTTATGGTCATTTTGTGAGTGATGAGTGCGATTGTGGGCCCTAATTGGTATTTTGAGGGGAATTTTTTATTTCTATTTTTTGGATCTTTGTGGAAAATCGAAGGGGTCAGCGGATAAAGATAGGGGCGGGGGTGGCTGGTTGGAAATGCTAAGGGAGCAGGTATAGTGGACGGTGTCTGTGCCAGGCAGTCGCTTCGATCGAGGGTGGAAACCGGGTTGGGGAGGGGTGAAGAGCGAATTTATCGGGGGAACGTAGATTTTCGGGTTTTTTTGTCTGTTTCATTGATTTTTCTGGAATCTTGATTGTAATGAGTGATTTTCAGTGATCGTCAGACACACGAGAGTGTTCCGTTAGTCCGTGAAGAAGCTGAAGAGAATTTTTGAGGGGATTTAAGAGGAAATTGAACGATTGCGTGGCTTCTTCACGGGTTCTTGATAACGACAAAAGGGAAAATAGTCGATTGTTTGATTGAAGAAAGAAGAATCTTCGATACTCTTCGTTAAACTCCGGAGATCACAATGGTAATCATTAGAGAAGAAAGAATCGTAGATTTTTGGTTTTTCGTTGTTTGATTTTGTTTCTTAGCTGACTAGAGGCTAGTCATTAGCGCAGAAACTGCATCAAGCTTTATCTGGTGAATTATTTTTTGCACGCTCGTTGCGCTCTTCGAGGCTCATTCTTTTATTTTGATTCCCTTGTGGAAAGTGCTGAATTTCCAGTGATAATTCGAGGAAAATCATTGAATGATGCCGCACTGCGGCAGAAGTGCCGTGGGATTACCTCCATCCGTCCTCTCTCAAACGATTAAAACAAATGATCCATGAAAAGCCGGGAATTTACCTTGTGAAAAGTGTTTGAATCCACTAGTGAATACTGTCAAAACCACTTGGAATAACGTGCACCATGACGTGGTGATGTGACAAACCCCATGGACCCTCGACAGAATTCTCGTACCATCCGATTCCCCTCGTCCCAGTTTCCGGTCAGCTGATTATCGGAATTTTCACCACGTAACACCATCAAGTGAACCCCTTGCTCCTGCGCATCGCGTCATCAGCCAAAAATCATGATTTCCCTTAGACCAGATGACCCCATGATCTCTATCTAAAATGACCTGTCTCAACCGAAATTATCGCCAATGCTTGTCTCCCAATTTCATTAAGGCAAAAATTCTCCGGTAATTTAACGAGAACGAGACCCTCCGAATACTCCCTCCCAAGCGATTTGGCAGTCCTTCACGATGAAGACCGATCATAAGTCATCAGCGAGTTCTTGCACGCGTATGTACGCACCATCATCATCACCACTCGTAAATCGTCAGTATTACGTACCCCAGTGGCCATGCGTTCCGTGACGTCTCATCAAGGCCGGACACGTCAATTGATAAGGTCGTTCCTTTTAAGTTTGTCCCTAACCAACCGTTTTCCATTCATTGAAATCTCACTGGGCTGTTATAACTGATACGAAACGGTTCTCTTCCGGCTGTCGTATCATTTCAAATGTGCATATTACATTGGCTCAAAGTGCCTCAACGACAATCGTCTTGAAGACTAATCACTCGGCTCAAATGATCCACCCAAATTCATTTATCACCTTCAAGCGATGATTCGATACAAGTCCATTGTGATAATTAATTCATGGAATAGCCACATCGGCAGGTTTATTCCAGACAAATAACTCCCTTTCCAGTGAAAGAAAAGGGCTGAGGGGTTGGTAACAGGGACAGTATCATCACCAAGGGTCGCAGACCAGATGGCGCCGTAGGCGTTACGCCTTCTGGGGACGGACTATCGATCGTAACCTATTTATAATTCATCTTGGATTTCGATTCGTCACGAATATCCCTTTTATTTTTACCGTATTGGTTTCAAACGGTGATGCACTGATGACAGACTGACAGGTGAGGCCCTTTTGATGGGCCATGATCGTTTTTCAAATTCAACTCATTCGTTTTTTACATTCACTCAATGGATTGATTTTTTCATCAGTCTGGCTGGAGTTTTTAGGAATCTCACTGGCATTAATTACTTTGAGTACTTAAAAGACTTCTGTGTGGACACTCGTGGGTCTTCCGTGGACAATCCCTGACCGCGCGCGGGTCATTGGCCTATTTCGCTGAGGTAGTGGAACTATTTCGATATCTCGGGACCTGGAGGACATGATATTTCTTTTGTATTCGGAAAATTATAATTCATCATTTGTACCGGGGGAGAATTTTGTTTCAATCTGTCACTTCCTGATGTTTTTTTGTTGTCGTAATCCATTTGTTTTCAAGTTGAAGATTCAAACGAGATTAAAATTCAACAGCTGGTACAATTTTGATTCCGTCCGGCATTAAATGGCCAATCTCCCTCTTGACCCAATTCGTAAAATGCTCACTGGTGTTAGATACAACTTGACAATGTCCAATACAAATCTTTTTGTGCCTTTTGTTCATTCCCTCGCGCTCGGGCCACAAGTGCTGGGTTGAATGGGTGACGAGGGGAAACCCACACACGTTCTGTGTGTGACGTACTCAAGGTGTGACGTATTTTACTGAGAGAAATGTCATTTCGACTGAAGGAGATAATCTTCTTCAGGATTATATACTCTTTGATAGATCGAATTCTTGAAATCACGTGGAAATTTCATCTCCTCAAACCCAAAATCATACATTGTCCAGTCTTTCAACCGCGCCTGAACCCCCGACGGACATACGATTACGTAACAGTCGGGGGTATATCCCACAACAAAGGAAAATGGATACCTGACAGTACTCCAATATCTTCAGCTCACATTCCCCCGATGGCGAGAAACCTATTTGCAGAAAATTCTCAGATTTATAAAAATTCCCAGATATCCCCGCGATTCGGGTGAAAACACATTCTCATCATGGAAAACCCAAAATGAACCTTTTCCAGAACAAAGCCTGACCCTTTCCTCAGTCCAGGGTTAATAGTGGGAATGATGTAGACAACTGAAGTACCCCAGAGTGGTGGAAACGCCCATTCACCTAGGGCTAACGTAGGAAAAATAAAAATGAGGGCAGCCGAGAGAGGAGACAAAAAAAATCTGCACAAGTGTGCATTCACCCTCGAGTGGGTTTTCGAATGGTAAAGGACTGGAATGGGAAATAACAGTGGATTTCGTGGGGTGTCTGCAAAAAGTGTGCGCACCTCTTGCTTGTGCCCTGGTTGCGTATTGATCCGCCTGAGTTTGCTGAACAGAGGGCACCACTGGTGCACGGGTCAGGGGTGCATGCGCCTGCGCCTCCAAATGGTCAATCCAGCATCGACCCACAGTCGCTGATTCTAGGGGGGGCAAAATATTTTTTTTTCGGGGGGTGGTGGGCGAGGGGGAATTTTCCGGAGGTGAATGGTTCCGCCGGAAGTATTGATCTAGGGATTTTTCGGTGGGGAGATTAATGGGGGTGGAAGAATTGTTTAAAAAAAATTTTTTTTTATATATTTTTTTGAGATTATTGCCTCAGAATATTTTCTTCTCCCTAATCAATCGATTAATCGGTGGAAATATCCGGGTGATGCATGAATAATATTTTTGAAATTTTGTTGAAAAATTAAATCCACCGCGAGTGGACAAAGCCATTGATCCGTCCTCGCGGATTATCTCACACAATTCCCTCTAATCATCATGATGACCACCTACACCTCCTTGATACCCGTGAGTCACGATTTAACTGGTCCCAAGGTAGACACGTGCAACGAAACCCTGAGGATTCTCCAGGAAACGTCGCCGTCTGGTGAATTTCGTGCCCTTAGCATAATTTCATCATAGAAAAAAAAAAAAAAATCCAAAACTCGAGGTGAAAAATTGAAGAGTCAATTTTTATTTCCCACTAGTCAGTGTCATCCCTTCCGCGAACTATCGATCTTGGAAACTCGTGACAATAGGTCTTTCAGACAATCGGCATAAAATCGATGAATATCAATCGACCTCGGCCAGTATCATCCCATCCAACAGAATAACTTTGTCGTTGAAAATGGTGTACGTCTCTCAGCACCCATTACCCATTCAATATGCCTCAACAAAACGTGCAGAACGGAAGTAACCGGTTACCTCGGTACCTCGAGGTCGCACTTGAAACTGCAGTTCTGGGAGCGCCGAATGCACCACCTATTAAATCCACCCAGAATTTTCCACTCAATCGTCAATTCAATCATCGATATTCATAATTACTTACGGTCTATCATTTACCACGTCATTACTTTTTTTTTTTGTCAATTTTTTTTTCTAGCATGGCCGCACAGATTCATACAGAGTTGCAACATTCACGAACGTTCGCGATGACAACAAAACAGCTGATGGAATGGTCAAGGTAGTCAGGGGAAAATTAATCAGACAGATTGATTGAGTCCGCTTCCAACTTCTTCTTTTTCTTCATCTTCATCTTCATCTTCATCCCTAACATCAAGAATTTTTCGACTTTTCTCTATCTTCTCTCTCTTTCTCTCTCTTTATCCCTCACTTCTGACCTTTCGCCAAATCCTAATGAAAAATGAAAAAATGATATCGCTTCATCCTCTCCGCGAATATGATTGATTAATCCTGGTGTATCCTTTCGCTGATTGTCGAAGGGAGAATCTAATTTTAGGATAACCCGATAATCCTTTGGCCTTTCGACGACCCGAGATTTCACCTCGACCTATCACGCTCGACTAATACACTCCAACATTTTATTTATTTAATCTCCTCAAGTACTCACACATCTATCGATGGATTATTCCTCAGTCTCGTCTGATAATCTGCTTGCTGCGGTGGTGGGGGGTTGATGTATCTGGAGCTGCATCAATCCTGTCTATTCAATCAATTGCACCCAAGATCACATTTTCAATGAATCATCAATCTGTTATCATTCTAATCACTCTATTTGGGGGAGTCTCTCATCAACTGCCAACACTTTATTTAACTTTCATCATAATCCACTGCGAAAAATCACTTGGTCACTATTTTAAAACTTGCGCTTCTTTTCATTTGGTGGAGAGGTATTTAAAACTCGGTGTCTTAATTACGTTCTTGCGCTTGATTTTTGGTTTGACATGAGGCTAGAAATTATTCGAATTTTTTTAATGAAAAACGAGCGAAGGAATATGTCTGGCTTTCCGATGTGGACTGAGACGAGTGCCATGAGAACACGAGCCAACACACCCAGCAGATTAATTAGAGGGGTTAATAAGTCCAATGACTTATTAATTCATAGCATCCGAGTGCTTGTATTGGTCGTCTTATCATCGCGCTATCTCGCTCCGGGGAAAGCCATTCAATTGATTAAATGCCTTCGCATTTCACGACGTCGTTACTAATCAATGTCTGTCTTGCTTCTTTTTTTTTTTTAATTTTTACGTTGACTAACAGTCGCGGCGAAAGAACCCAAAGAGGAAAGGAGACAACTTGGATGATTTGAAACAGGAGTTGGATATTGATTTTCATAAAATCTCACCTGAGGAACTCTATCAGAGATTTCAAACTCATCCAGAGAACGTAAGTAGATTTTAATTATAAATAATTACGAATTTCGCGGGTCTAAATTCAGTGATAAAATCACTTGAATTTCGAATGACATGAGTAATTAATTAAATATAATTAAAAATCGTCGCTTAATTTTTTTTTTTTCGTGTTGAATTTCAAAATCAAATATTTTTTTTTTATTAATTTTCACTAGATCACCAATTGAGGGAAAATATCGCGTAAAAATTTGACATTGAGGTCAAATGAGTTTAAGAATAATTGTATTTCAGGGCCTTAGCCATGCGAAAGCGAAAGAGAATTTGGAGCGTGACGGTCCAAACGCCCTTACCCCACCGAAAACCACCCCCGAATGGGTTAAATTCTGCAAAAATTTATTCGGTGGATTTGCCCTCCTCCTGTGGATCGGTGCAATTCTCTGTTTCATTGCGTACTCGATTCAAGCATCAACGAGCGAGGATCCCAACGACGACAATCTCTACCTGGGCATTGTACTTGCCGTAGTTGTGATAGTAACAGGAATATTCTCGTACTATCAGGAGAGCAAATCGAGTAAGATAATGGAGTCATTCAAGAACATGGTGCCTCAATTTGCAACTGTCCTGAGAGAGGGTGAAAAATTAACCCTCAAAGCTGAGGATCTTGTGCTCGGTGACGTTGTCGAGGTGAAATTCGGTGATCGTATACCAGCTGATATAAGAATTATCGAGTCACGGGGCTTCAAGGTTGACAACAGCTCGTTGACTGGTGAATCAGAGCCACAATCAAGATCACCAGAATTTACCAATGATAATCCCCTTGAGACGAAGAATCTCGCCTTCTTCTCGACCAATGCTGTTGAGGGTACAGCAAAAGGTGTTGTTATATGCTGCGGTGATCAGACTGTTATGGGTAGAATCGCTGGTTTGGCGTCTGGTCTTGACACAGGTGAGACACCAATTGCCAAGGAAATTCATCACTTCATTCACTTGATCACCGGTGTAGCTGTTTTTCTCGGTGTTACATTCTTCCTAATTGCATTCATTCTGGGTTATCACTGGCTCGACGCTGTAATATTCCTCATCGGTATCATTGTTGCCAATGTACCTGAGGGTCTACTCGCCACAGTGACAGTCTGTCTCACCCTAACTGCTAAAAGAATGGCATCTAAGAACTGTCTCGTTAAAAATCTCGAAGCTGTGGAGACACTTGGCTCGACGTCAACAATTTGCTCGGATAAAACTGGTACATTAACTCAGAATCGTATGACTGTCGCTCACATGTGGTTCGACAATCAGATTATCGAGGCTGATACCACTGAGGATCAGTCTGGTGTACAGTACGACAGAACAAGTCCTGGATTCAAAGCACTAGCCAAAATAGCAACGCTATGCAATCGAGCTGAATTCAAACCTGGCCAAGAGGGTGAACCAATTCTAAAACGTGAAGTCAATGGTGATGCCTCAGAGGCTGCACTACTCAAGTGCATGGAGCTGGCCCTCGGTGATGTTATGGGAATCAGAAAGAGAAATAAGAAAGTGTGCGAAGTGCCATTCAACTCAACCAATAAATATCAAGTATCAATTCACGAGTCTGACGATCCCAATGATCCGCGTCATCTTCTCGTTATGAAGGGTGCACCAGAGAGAATTCTCGACAGGTGTTCAACAATTTTCATTGGCGGCAAGGAGAAGGTACTCGATGAGGAGATGAAGGAGGCATTCAACAATGCTTATCTGGAGCTCGGTGGTCTTGGTGAGCGTGTGCTTGGTTTTTGCGATTATATATTACCATCGGACAAATATCCCGTTGGATTCAAATTCAACAGCGACGATCCCAATTTTCCAACTGAGGGGCTTAGATTTGTTGGCCTCATGTCCATGATTGATCCACCACGTGCTGCTGTACCAGATGCCGTTGCCAAGTGTCGTTCAGCCGGTATCAAAGTTATCATGGTCACCGGTGATCATCCAATCACTGCCAAAGCCATTGCCAAATCAGTTGGTATTATATCAGAGGGTAATGAGACTATTGAGGATATTGCACAGAGATTGAATATACCGGTGTCGGAGGTCAATCCACGAGAGGCTAAAGCTGCTGTTGTTCATGGTACTGATCTCAGGGATACTAGCAGTAGTCAACTCGATGATATCCTGAGATATCATACCGAAATTGTGTTCGCTCGTACATCACCACAGCAGAAACTTATTATTGTCGAGGGATGTCAACGGATGGGAGCCATTGTTGCTGTTACTGGTGAGTTAATCACTTTTTTTTCTCAACCGATTGTTGCATACGAATACGAATACGAATTTTTAAGAGAATGAAACAACCACCGCTCTGATAAATACATCGTAATGAAAAAGATAAATAAATAGTGCCTTTTGCAATGGTCCTCCAGGCGATGGTGTGAACGATTCGCCAGCCCTGAAGAAAGCCGATATCGGTGTTGCCATGGGTATCGCTGGATCTGATGTATCGAAACAAGCAGCCGACATGATTCTTCTCGATGATAATTTCGCATCAATCGTAACTGGTGTTGAGGAGGGGCGACTCATCTTCGATAATCTCAAGAAATCCATTGCCTACACCCTCACCTCGAATATCCCTGAGATCTCACCCTTCCTCGCCTTTATCCTGTGTGATATTCCATTGCCACTTGGTACAGTCACCATTTTGTGCATCGATTTGGGAACCGACATGGTGAGTACTCGAATTCGTACAGCTTCAGAAATAATCATGTGCCGATCGAGCTGAAGACTTCGAATCGTTTTAAATGGTCTTGTCACCATTGAGGGTTGATCTTGAAAATTTTTGGCCCGGGATGGGTCAAATAGTAAAAGAAATTCCAGTTAAACCCAAACAACAGGTGTTTTCAGCTCGATAAAAAAATCATCTCGATGTGTCTTTTCAATTAACAAAATAAAATAGATACCAGCGATTTCCCTGGCATACGAGCACGCTGAGTCCGACATAATGAAGAGACGTCCCCGCAATCCAGAATTCGACAAACTGGTCAATGACAGGTTAAAAAAAAACCAGTAGATCAGCCAGGAGTAGCCACCAACGATCCACTCTCATATCTAATTGCTTGTCTTATCGTTATCTCACGCCAGGTTTAGCGCCAGTCTCGGGAGAACGTGCAGTAAATATTATCCTAGTGGCTTTCTTCCAGGAGTCGTTGTATTTTCTGGCAGGATATCCGACAATCCCATCCCATCCAAGATTTTTATCACCTGAAAATGTGCCAACGATTATTTCCATCATCTCATGTGTCATCACGTCTGAGTTCTCGTTGGTTTTTTTTCCCCCATTTTTTTTTTTGTTTGGTTTTATTTTTCACTCGTCAATTTGATGGGTTTTCATCGATTTTATAAATTCAACAGCTCATAATGCTTAATATTACGTCAGGTACCAGCCATCTCGCTAGCCTATGAGGAGGCTGAGAGTGATATTATGAAGCGACAACCACGAAACCCCTTCAGTGACAAGCTTGTTAATGAAAGGTAAAATAATCAACGAAAGGAAACGATAATCTTGATTTCTTCGGTTATCTTTTAAATAAGAATCGGGGGCTTGAGGTGCTTTTATCTATTTTCTTTCGTATATTTTGTCTTTTTATCCTATTGGCATCATCGATCAAGAGAATACTATATCATCTTTTCGTCTTCTTATGTTTATTTCAAATCCAGATAACTGGAGTCTTGTCTTTAGATATCAATTATTTCTAGTCAATCTGGTGACTGTCGCTTCACTGTTCCATTAAAGGGATAAAATCTGGTGTTTACTGTCGTTCTGATCGGTGAGACTTTGGCTATTTCATCGTTCATTATTTCATGATTTATTTTAGTCCTCTAATTCTTCATTTCATTCAGAATTCTTCTTCTTTCGTAATATTTTCGAGGAACGAATGGGGTTTTGAGGTGTAAGGTTGCAGTATTATTGTATGCAAAAATTGTTTCCCTTGGATATTGCTATGTCATTCTCATCTCGCTTTGTCTTCCTTTGTCTTTCATATTTACTTTGAGGAAACTCTGAATTTTGAATGAGAAATCGATAATCAATCTTTGGATATTTGCAAACAGTGGGTTATCTCGGTAACGAGTCGTCCTACGAGAAAATGTTAAAACGAATTTTTTGTTGGAAATTCAATTCCCCAGATAAAATCTTTCTGACATTTTCCCGAGAAATTATTCGTTTATGCGATACGCGAGGAATCGTGGAGGGTAAAAATCTCGACAAAAATTGAGAGTTTGTAATTGTTGTTCATCCTTCCTTCAACTTCATCTACTAATTAATTTGCTAAATATCATGACATCACCTCCTTTGGTTATTCGGTTAACCATAAAGGTAAGCCTATTCTCATTTTTCTTTATTTAATTAAGAAAAATAATTTCTCACGCACTTTAGCATCTTCATAATGAAAATCTAAAGTATTTTTTGATAACCACTTGGGAGTTTATATCGACCTTATATATTCGGAATAAATCTTTCAATTTAAATATTTCGTTGAATATTTATCATTTATATTCTACGCATGTTCATCTTGTGGATAAAAGCCGCATTGTGTGCTCCTTGCGTCTGCGTCATGTTTTTTATCATTCCATCAAAATCATATCTGATAAATACCCATCCGCATTATTACGATCAAATCTCCTGGCTCTTTTTGAATCTATTCACTATCACTAATGATACATTTTATTTCAGTCTGATATTTTGATTTATCCCACTGTATATCCTGCCTGTATTTTATTAAGATGCCAAACACCAATGCCAATATTATATTTCTGGTATTTCAAATAAATTACACTGTTAAAAATTTAACACTGAACTTTTCATGGAATTTCATCGTCTATCAATTTAAATTTTCAATAGAAAAAATTCAATGATGCTTCAAAAGCTTTTCCGTGAAATTCATTGAAAAATATTTAACAGTTTAATGAATATCTGTTGAGTTACGATGTGAAATTCCCAGAAATAGTCCTCTGCAATTGCCTTGCTCTCGTCCAATTTCCAAACAATCGCGTTGAATTGAATTTGTTGACCGTATAAATAAATTAAATATGCCAACGATTCGACAGTGTAGTTACCCACGCGAAATTGTTGATCCCATAGTATTTTTATAATAATAAATTGACAATCAACAATTTTGCGACGAGTAAGATGACGACTCTTCCATCTCGTAGTTAATTCTCCATAATAATTAGTTAGAGATTAGACATAGATTATTTTTTACTCAATTAATCTTAATTATATTTAATATTGAATAATCGTCTGGATGGAACAGATTAATTAGATACACACCAACAACAAATTGAACAACAGCGTGATCTTAATTACTATTACTATTAATTACTCTCGCAGCTGAAATCTATTTATCATTCACTGCTAGCTAAATCTTTCAAGCATTGAAGTTTCACAGCGATTTCTTCCTCGATCGAAGATCATTCGACAGACAACACGCGATTTACCAGCGGAGGTCTCTACGATTTTTGGATTTTATTAATTCATAACGAAGAGTCGAGTGTTTTTTTATTCCAGTTTTATTTTTAATCAGCTCAATTATTCCAGCGACATTCTCATGATATTTTTATGATAATTATAACACTTCGGCTCTTCGTTTGTCAATCGCTTAGGAATGGCACCGATGAATCTTTATCATTTCTTTATTTCTTCTGTAAAGACCAAACTCGGATCATTTCTCAGTTAAATTACCCCGAATCTCCGATTTCTGTCGATTTCCACAGAACAATCGATAAAAAATTCAATTTAACATCAATTTTTTCGTTTAATATTGAATATTCGAACTCGAAAAATTGTCCAGTGGATTTATTATTTATAAAATATTAATCCATATCGATCGGAGTTTGGTCGAAGGCTTGACTAATCCTCGTACACAAATTCAAGCTGGAGTTTGAATTTGTGTGATTAGATTGTGGACTGTCAGCGTAATCTCAATGATTCCGGGAGTGAATAATGAAGAATAAAATCCGGGGATTCCCATTGCTTGACAGTCCTCATAATGTCTAATTCTCTTGGCACATGAACCATTGGTTATTTAATAACTAGAAGAACTAGAGCTTTCTCTCCATCACTTTTGATTCTTCACACACGAAAAATTTTCTTTCTCTTGAATCATGGGTGGATGGCAGGTGCCGGCCATCTCTCTAGCCTACGAGGCACCGGAGTCGGACATTATGAAACGCCAGCCACGCGATCCTTACAGAGACAATTTAGTCAACCGAAGGTGGGTTCTTCTTTTGATCCACCCCCCGACAACAACAACAGCTGATTTTATCGATAAACTCATTGTTTATGCACCTGCCGCATCATTCGGTCATTTTTTTTATCAATGGGCGACAGACATGCCTATTTTTTTCCATTATTCACGCGTGCTAATTCAATAATTGGATCAATCGATAATTAAATCATCAACAAATCAGTCTTCTAACTACTGGATGATTTAATTATATCACTAGATAATTTTTTTTAATGGAAAAAAATTTGAGGACTCGAATTGTTTTGTCTGTTGCCTGTCAAAAAATCATGAACACCTGAGACATTGAAAAAACAATAGTCTAGAGAGAATAGCACACATTAGGGTCAAGGTCTGTGCGAATGCGTTGAATGTCATTATCAATGTTTAGCCATTTAGAAAAATTAGTACACGAGCGTTAAGCGATTGTGCCACACTTTCAACATTTTGTATAGAACCTCACGAGACAATCATAATTTATTAATTGTCAGTTGGCCTGGATAGCCTCGACTCGTTTTACTTTTATCATTAAGCATGGGAGAGCAAGTCATCAGCCGATTCATAAGATCATTAGCAGAAAGGTCAAGAAATGACTCAATTCCGAGTTTCAATGAATTAATTTCAAATAAATTTTGTAGCCCCCAAAAAATTATTCCACTATTTGTCGAAAACTTCGCAATCGACGGGATATAACGAAATTTTCATACTTACCTTTTTTGTGGCAGAAGGAATTCTCTACAAAAAAGTTTCTATAAAAAATTAGTCATCTCTCTTTGTTTTCGAGATACGCACGGAAAACTGAAACTCGGATGAAATTGAGTTGAGAAGTTTCACCTTTTCGCTACTGAAATATTTTCCTTTCCTCACCAACTCGTAACTCTAATTTCAGTCATTAATATCAACACAAAAACAATTGTTTTAATGCACGAATGCTTTGAGTGTCGCATGATCTGTGGGTGAGAGCTTACAGTACAGAGACCCAGAATTTGGTGAGTAATTACTCAAATCCTCGCTATCCTCAGCTTTCTAAAATTTCTGGGCATTCTGAAGAGTAAATAGATGGGCTTTACCTGCAACTAAACACCTCGTGAGAGAGATGAATTTAAATTCCCAACGCCTCTGGTCCCTTTTGGGCCGTTAGTGCGAGACTGTTGCATCACTGGGGGGATTTTTAATTGGCAATTGATTTTTCGCAGGCTCATCTCAATGGCATACGGACAGATCGGTATGATTCAGGCAGCCGCTGGTTTCTTCGTGTACTTCGTTATCATGGCTGAGAATGGCTTCCTCCCGACGTATCTTTTCGGCATCCGAAAACACTGGGATTCCAAAGCTATCAATGATCTAACCGACAGCTATGGCCAGGAATGGGTAAGTGAAATGTGCACAGTCTCACCTCATATACCTCAAAATCGGCTGACGATAGCGGAATGCCACCGGAAACTTTTTTGTGCCTGGGAAAATTTCCCACAAAAAAGTCCATTATCATTTTTTTGGTAGGACCAATGATTACTGAGATAATTGATCTTCCGATTACAGACGTACAGAGATCGCAAGTCTCTTGAGTTCACTTGTCACACAGCCTTCTTCGTGTCAATCGTGATCGTCCAATGGGCCGATCTGATTGTCTGCAAGACCCGCAGGAACTCCATCGTGCACCAGGGAATGAGGAACTGGGCCCTCAATTTCGGTCTTGTTTTTGAAACAGCACTCGCTGCTTTCCTCAGTTACACACCTGGTATGGATAAGGGTCTCCGCATGTTCCCACTCAAGTGAGTATACAATTAAATAGATATTAATTAATATTTGTGGGTTAATTGGATGGTCAAAAGTGTAGGTTAAGCGATGAGTCAAAAATCAGGGTTCAATGAATTGAACAGTGAAATAAATTGGCTGTGAAAAAAAAATGTTAATCCTTTCAGATTTGTCTGGTGGCTTCCAGCCCTTCCTTTCATGCTCGCCATCTTCATCTATGACGAGACGAGACGGTTCTACCTCCGCCGAAATCCTGGTGGCTGGCTTGAGCAAGAAACTTACTACTAAATTCTCCTCCCCACAGCGAAGCGCACCCACGCGAATAAAACACTTGGAAATATCTCGATCAACTCAAGAGACCCTTCAAAAAAAAATCATAAAAACTCAATAAATATACTACACGGGGCGTGCTTGCAAACCTGGACCCACACGTATCTAATTAGTGCTGCAGAGGCTGGAATGTGCTTCGTTGGCTGAATTATCTCCCTGTGAGGAAGGATTACTTACGACCAGATGAAGCAATTTTCTTTACTCTTTGGTCACGTCAGAAATAATGAAGAGCCTCGTGAAGAATGAGTCACTGCCCAATAATCGAGAAACGCCTGGGATGGCTGATGGGGCGTCGACCCAGACTAAAACTAAAAATTAAAATAACAATTCAGGATTAAAGCGGCACAACGGATGCAGTCGATTTTTCCGGACTCGCCTACTTTCTGTTTTTTTTTTTTGCGATATCTCGGAATCTCGGGAGATGACGAAATTTTTGTCGGGGACTTTTTTGTGGAGAATTTGGAGATCCGGAAAAAAGTTCTTATGAAAATTTTTCGTGGTTTCGCTGGTTTTCGAGATATTTCGGAAATACGGGCGATCACCGGAAATCGACTTGAAACGTTTTACCCCTTCACTGAATTCCAAGAGTGGGACAGAGACGGGCCTAAAAAAATTAATTAAAATTATAATTAGGGGTAGACGAATCCAGTGAATGAACGAGTCATGTTGAATAATGAGAATGGAATACTTTAATGAAAAAATCTAAAAGACGAATTCGAGAACTAGCTTAACCTGTTGAATTTGAGAGGAAATAAATTATTTAATCGAGGATACGAATTGAGAAATTATACGTCTTGTGATACCGGGGGTAGATAATCTGTTGATTAGATAATTCCGTCGTGGAGAAATTGAAAATTTAAAATGTAGGGAAATTTCATTAACGATTGCGAGGTGAAAATAAATAAATAAAAAGCTATTCAGACGTCTCCAATGACCATAAAAAGATCCTCGCTATTGGCACGCCCTAGGTGAATGCAGCGAATACGTAATCATCAACAATAATTAACGATTACCGTAACAACCCTCGGATTATCGTTATCGTAATCGTTTGTGGCACAGTGATAAAACAGAACTTCAGTTTTTGGGGGGTATCTCGGAATCTAGAGGAGATAGGGGAATTTACGTGGAGACTTTTTTGTAGCTGAGAAAGTTTCCCACAAAAAAGTCCTGTATCATTTTGCTCTGGAACCGCTAGTTATCGAGATAATCATCCATTTCTGGGAGGGAGTGCTGAAATGAAACATTAACTCTATAAAATTAACTTCACTGGATTATCGTAATTGTTTTATTACATAAAATAATTCGATATCGAGGGAATTACGAGGGGAAGTACAAGAACCAACGCGTTATTTCAGTAGAAAAATATAAACCGATCAAAAACCACTAGTTAATCAATAAATCGAATTATTTTTGAAGAATTTCTCAAAAATTACGAAACACTCAATCCGACGAATAATTCAAGACCGAGTAAATACAAAAATATACTGAACAGAGGAGTAACTAGTGCACGCGATGAGTAGCTGTAGCGAGAGGTTTAAAATGTAACGAAAACAGAAAAAAAAAACGTGAAAAAAATAATAATTCTACGAGCTATAGCAGGTGAATGGAAGTAATGCATTCTCACGTAGGTGAAAAGTGAAATAATTATTATAATAAAGAGTAAATAAAATGAAGAGCATTCATTCTCTAGGTTTTTTCATAGTTTAAACGAAATGAGGAGGGAGTTTCGATGAGACCCCGGCGCTAACGCCCTGTCCAGCCCCAGGTATTCAGTAGGAAAATAGTTAACGGCTTATATCTCGAAATCCGTGAGAGATTGTCAATTTTTTTTTAGACCACTTTAAGAGCTACAGAAAAGGTCCAATAAAAATTTTTCTATCCCTCGTAGATTCCGAGATATTGGAAAAAAACTGAAGTACTTTTTTTTTCATTTAGCAAATTCAATCAATTTCATTTTGTCTGCGGTTTTTTGAGGATATCTCGGCAGGGGTGGGGGAAAGTCGAGTTTTCGTAAGGAACTTTTTTGTAGGGTACAATGAGTACTATGAAAAAGGTCGAATAAAGATTGTTCTATTCCCCTTGGATTCCGAGATATCGATGTCGCGCGAAAATCGAATTTCACTGTTTTACCTCTTCACTAGGAATTTATCTCGAGATATGAGGAATTGGTGACGCCCCTGCAGCTCAGTCCCGAATAATGCCCAAAGTGTTCATAACGTGTGGGGAAATTGAGGAAACACTTGACATCATTGACTCTTCGCTCTTTCATGACAAATAAACAATACAAATGCACAACAAATACTGAATAAATCTGAGTCCCAAAATTCAACGACTTTTTTTTTTCGATTAAACAACCTGATCGAGTGTTCAAGTGGGATGTACAGGTTTTTGTAATGGTTTTACAAACATAATTCATTAAAGGGAAGAAATAACTAACGAACCACTCGCTCTGGAGATTGACAGAACGAAAAAAAAAACAGTTATTAAAAAAGAACAAGCTAATGAAAACTCAAAAACAGAGATTTCACAATTTTTTCTCGTTCAACGCAAGATTATCTCGATAACGCTCTGTCCGAGGGAAAATAGTCCGAAGAGATTTTCTGTGGGAAATTTCATCAGCTCCAAAAAATTTTTTTTGACTCTTGACCCTGGGACCCCTCGTTATCGATATAATCAGCGAAAAAAGAAAATTCATCAATGGGTTGAAATGAAATTGTAGTCGAGGGGTGGAGACAGGGTGTTGTTGTGCCGGGGAGTGTAGGAGCCCAATATAACGAAAATTATGAAAAAAAATATAAAAAACAAGATAAAATACGAAAATAACAAAAAAATGCTTTGCCATCGTGCGCCGCCTCACTCTAGGCTAATAATTTAAATATTAAAGTAATATTAATGATTATTAATATAATACATGTTACGGTAAGATATTACTAGATGTAATTATTATGTATGGTTTAGTTTAGATCGTGTTGTTGAGAAAAAAAAAAACAAAGTATGCGTAAGATAATTGAATATTAATTGGGATGAGTTGGGATTCGGGAGGGGCGAGGCTGGGATTTTTTCAATTTTTACATTGTGTTCTAGGATCACGAATAAATGGACATTATTTATACTGTTATAATAATTTACCTATTTTGGGGCCAGTGGAGGGACCGGATTTGCCCTCCGGATTCTTCAAAATCATAAATTTACATCTCAATTTATTTATCACACAATTCACATCAATAATAATTGTTTATTTAACCATAATAATAATTATAAAATAAAAATATCTCGAGATCCGTGAATGGTTAGTGTGGAAATAATTGAGATGTGAATTTTTTTCCACTCCCCCCAAAATTTCAAAATAAATTCCCCTTCCTCCCCTAAAAAAAGACCCAAAACTGAAAAAAAAAACCCCATCCACTCGCCCCCACGCGCCGGATCCCCAAACGCTAAAAACGAAATGAAAAAAAAAAAGAGAAAACAAATTGAATAATGTTTTATTAATATTGTAAATATTTTAAATAATAGAAAGAAATGAAAAACAAAGAGGAATAATAAACATGCGTGACTGGAGAATCTCATGCTGAGGGCTGGGGTGCCCGATTATTCTGTTCCGATCGTTCATGGATCCCTCCCCTTACCACCCCACACTCTCACCCACCCCCTTTCCTCCCACCGTCCGAAAAAAATTCCTCGTTTGCTCCTTAATTTTGTTAATGAGCGAACACTCGACCCGACACTCGAGTGAGAAAAACTAGACGAAATGAAATAGTAATTCACTCGCGAGCTTCAGCTAAAGTTGATTGTCTCCATTCACAATTCGCTCATGGCAACAATCAACGTGGATAAAAAAAAAAGAATAATAAATAAAACACATTGCATTAAAACTCCACATGCGAATAAATTTGCGATGGATAAACACGTGCTCACTCTGCTCTAAAAAATAATTACCACTTGTAACTGTAACATCCCTGTTTCTGATTGACAATTCCTTTCGTATTGAATTAATTAATTGATAAGTCTTTTTGTTTTCACGATGAATAAATTACATTAAGGAGGAAAATGAATAAAATGGTGAAAAAAAAAATGATAAAATACAAATGAGAGACATTGTCCAACCCAAGTGTCATTACTTTTGATGTTAAATAAAAAATACATAATTAATAAATTGGTTTTCACATAGGATTTATTTGAATCCGCCATTACCCAGTCTACTCTGGGGCTTGAATTTTTTATTATGAGTTGTAATTAAAAATGAATTAAAGCTCCTAATTAAAAAATTAATTAATTACTCAGTGATTGTACTCAAAATATTCTTTTAAAAATGGTAATAACTTTATTCGAAATTCGTCGAAAAAAATCATGAATACTCTCCATCAATTTATGTACAAGAAAAAAAAATCGGATTACTCGAATTTTCTGCGGGAAATTTTCCCTCAGAGTTCCGAGGCCTCAAATTTCTTTCTGTCTTTAACAAGACGTTTTTTCCGAAGTCTCTCGATGTGTTTTTTGAGTTTCCCAGTGCTCTTAAGCTCCTCGTACTGCGCCACGAGATTAACTATTTTCTTCTCGGATTTTCTCTTGAATTTTGGTTTTTCCCCAGTCCTAATGGCCTCAACGATTTCCTTTTTCTCCGCACTCTGAATGTCTTCCCTCTGCTTCCTCCTCGAGTGCTCCCTCAGCTGATTCTCAATCCTCTGGATAAGATATTTTATTTTTTTTATCTCCTTGGGATTCTCAGAGGTCTTGAGCTCCTCCTTCAGAGCCTTGAGATCGTTCTCCTTGAGTTTAAATAGAAAACTGTACGAATTCTTGAAGGCTTTTTCGTCGAAATTTCCACAGAGGGAATCGAACCTGGGATCCCTGGGCTCTTGCTTCTTCACGTGGACAACTTCTTTGAATCTGGAGACTGGCTTCTTCGCAGACATCTCTCTCGGGCGATTTTTATTCTCTCGTTTAAAATCCGTTTTTCTGACGCTTTTAGCACCGAAAATCGCTTCATTGTAGACCTTTGAGCCTAATTTTTCTTTGAGCTTTTGCAGGTCCTCGAAACTCATGTGGGAAAGCTCCTCACGTATTTGAGTCTGTGGAGAAAGAGAGGGTTAAATATCCCTTAACCTAAATTTAAAAAGACCTCGATGAAACATTCATAAAACCCACCCGATCTTTATCTTTCTCCAACAGTTCCACAGTTTCATCATCACTGCTCATCTCTGTCGACTTAATTAAACAAAACAATCAAATTAATCGTCAATTATTCGTGATTTCTCTTCAGAAAATATCACACAACAATTTCCTCATGTTTAGCAAAGAGGATTGACTAAAGTAGAGGCTCTGGGGGTTGGAGTGACCCCAGCGGCATCGTAGTACTGCACCACAACAGAGGGAGGGCGCCACATGTGATGCTGGGGTGTACATCACGTCGACGGGGTGAATTTTATATTTTGCGGCATGAATGCTTTTTGTTTTTTATTTGTTTAAGTGAGATCTAGCCGACTGTTGAACGTGCGGAAGGGGGAAACCACATCTTGTGGAATTTCAATGGAAAAAATTATTCAATGTATTGAATATATACCACTAATGAATTTATATTTTTAAATGTGCGCGTTGTCCTAGTGGTAACGTGCTCGACTGGCACGCCGGCGGCCCGGGTTCAATCCCGGCAACATTCATTTTTTTTTTTTTAAATAATTACAATTTCTTTTTTTTGTTAATGGCAAATCAATTGGAATATCGTTTAAAAACTGAATATTTAATAATCGAGAAGATATCCAGTGAAATTGAAAAATTAGCAATTTTTTAAAATAATACTTTTGCAATATATATACTCCTAATGAAATTTTATTGTTGTAATTGTGCGTTATCCTAGTGGTAACGTGCTCGGCTAGCACGCCGACGGCCCGGGTTCGATCCCGCCGTCATTCATTTTTTTTTTAAATAATTCCAATTTTTTCTTTAGGTAGGTATTCACTGCCATTGAAAAATTCGAAATTTTTGACAAAGTATCAGGGGAACATGACAATCGAGGAGCTATTCACTGA